TTCCGACTCCAAGATACCAACCTAAAATTTTGTATGGGAGAACTCCGTTTTTGAAAAGTGATCTCCGACTAGTGATAGCCACCGACTAAATGCGTATCGGTAAACGTTTGATTGGCAAACATAACAGAGAAAGAAGTTTTATTTGTGCAGTCAGATTTAATATGCGATTAATCCGCTCAAAGATTCATTGTCCATTTCTAATTGTCGCGCTCCACTCTGTTTACGAATAGATAGGTTAAAACTCTTATCAGCAGAGATTTCGTAAAACATTTGACCATAAAAATGAACGGTAAAACACGCCGTTTCGACCAAACTTCGGTCATTTTCAAGTGAATAGAAAGAATGTCACGATGAATATATATATGTATATGCGTGTAATGATAAGTTTTTAATTAGCTTCTAATTATTTCTTCTCTATCTTGTTCTTATTATCTGTTTACAATTCCAAAAATTTTTATACTTCTAACACGGATACATATATATATATATATATATATATATATATATATATATATATTCATTGTGACATTCTTACTATTCACTTGAAAATGACCGAAGTTTAGTCGAAACGTCGTGTTTTACAATTCATTTTTATTGTCATAAGCTAAAATGAAATAAGTTTTGCCGAATAGAGCATTTCGTAAAATTTCCATAGACGTATAGTTTATGGCGTTTATGCTTCAAATAGCGATTCCCAAACGCAAAAAGTGTCATGGTTGATTTGTCCTTATAGACCTGAAAGTATTGTTGAACTGAAGCTTTTGTTCTAAATGATCTAGCTTTCAGAATTTTTCAAACAACACCACGCAATTTAAGCATGGTGAATCAATGTACGGCTCTACTAGACGCAGGAAATTCTGGTGTCTCTCTCTAGCTGCGATATAGCAAATTTAGCACTTCTTATATTAAAACTCTAATCTAGCAATAATTCTGTCGATTCAGATCCGACTTGAGTGATTATATATTATCATAACCCCATAAATCCAACTTACCTTACCTTGAAGACAGGCACTCGTGGTTTGTTTGATGGATCTTAAATGGACGGTTGACTTGGTTGACTTTAATTCTTGCACTTCTACTTAAATTTTCACGATAATGACAATTATTTTCATAGGCTATGCTGTTGGTCTTTTCACTGTATCAGCACGTGAGATGAATGCCATTTATTGCTAAATGACAACAAGGAGGTAAAATTAATTTCATTATCATTGCGCAAAAGTTAATTTGTTTACTTTGCTTATCCTAATAATCTTTTTTTCTTATCTGACCTTTTATTCAAAGAACTGTCAAATGTAGAACTACATCATTTGTCTTGTTCAGTTATTTTTTTCTGACGTTCGGTTGGGGTCTAGACGTATCATAATGGCCAATTGAACCCATTATCCGGTTTAGTTGGACGTGTTACAACAGGTAGCCTGACGTATTCATTAATTCCTCAGATGTATTCATAACATTTCCTTAGACGTATAGAAAATATGAAATTTTCTCAGAGATGATTGTCGTTTACGTTTGCATTTTTTAAATTCAATTTTCCTCATAAAAAAAGCGCTGCTTCGGAAAATTTTTGTACTCACTCACTTCTTGAGGCGAACTCAGTGAACGTTTTGCTTTTTAGCTCAACCTTATTTTGAAAAAGGAAGACAACAATATTAGTAATATATCATGAATATTAACTTTGTTGGGTAAATGTTTGCTAGTAACCAAAATAACACACTGTGCATGTGCAGGCACGTTATTACCGAGAATGTAGCTGCATGATTGGTCAAGATATATCTTCATCTAGAAAATGCCAACATGGCTAGAAATGAAGGGACTCTTGTAGGCCTTGAGAAAAAAAAGCAGTTCCAGTTTAATTACAGGAAAAGGATAAATGGTTTTAAATTGATCAGGAGGGGTTCTAAACACCAGGCCATTGTTAAGAAAGACGTCATAAAGAAGATCCAACCGTTCGATCCAAATATCTACGAAAGGCTCATGAAAAGGGAGATAAGCGAATGGGACATAAAATACGACTTTTGGTACTCCTCGGAGGACAGAGGGAATATTTTGCCACATTTAGGTATTGCCATTTCATATTTTGCCAGCCTGAAGGCAATTTACCCCTGTAGACATCTTAGAGATCACCACATGGACTATCGATGGTGGGCAGAGACGTTTTTTCCTAAAAAAATACCCCATGTATCGGACTAATGATTAAACTAGCTAACTGCTTGATGAAAAAAAAAAGAGTTCCTCACATTTAGAGAGATTTCGTACATTTAATACTTGTTTTGATGTTAACGCTCTCTTAATTGTTTGCCTGGAGGCAATGCAAGTCATGTTCACAACCTCGTATGCACACGCTTAATTTGTTTTGTAGTATTTGTGTACTTTTGTTGGTTTAAATAGCTGAAGTAGATGGATACAAAGCTAAATCTTCTATAAAAGCAATTGAAAGACATTTCTACATTGGAATGCTTTTACTTTCAACTTGTTGAATCGAAATAGCAGATTCAAAAGAGGAAGTTAAAATAATCCGTCGTGCTCTATAATTAATCAATCAGAGCGCACTTTTAATCGGTCACAAAACAATCATGTATGCAATAGAACGTACTTTCCCTTATTTCGCAGAATGAAAAGCGTTTATTTCAGCAACCGTTGTAGGCTAAATTCTGCAATAGATAAGCCTCTATTTGTTTTCGCCAACCGTTCATTCCCATTGTTGACATAATTGTACTCGATAGCTCAATGTAAATGGCATTAAAATCTTTAAATAAACATTCCGGTCAACCTACTTTCAATAAGGTTAAGTATTTTCATCAGGAGTATTTCCTAACAATAATTCCGTCAAGAGAATATGATAGTAATCCCTTAGTTTGCAAAATGAGTGTAGCTATTCGTTCTGATCTATTGCTATTTTTTCTCTCGATAGGTTTAAGCGTTTTTACCGATTTTAAGATGATGCCGGAAATTCTAAAAAGGAATTTAGTTGTTTACCCGAAGGCGATGCAAGTCACATTCACCGGCTTTGCCGGCTATTTTTTCTCTCCATAGGTTTAAGTACTTTTACCGATTTTAGGAGGATGCCAGAATATCTACAAAGGAATCCTGAAGAGTTGTGGCAGCTGGACGAGCACAGTCCTTTTCCAGACGAAGTAGAGATAGTTATGCCTGATGATCGTCCTTTCAAAGGACACATTAGGCCGAAGGGAGGCCTCGATACCCCTTTTACAAAGGACAATATCATTGAGGTAAATCCCATGTTTTTGATTGCCTATATTAAAAGTCCGTTTCGAAAGGAACTATGTATAGGTATGTATAAAACTGCAATTTTTTTCCAAAAAAAGATTTTCAAAGAGATTTTCAAAAAGATTCATTCTTGAGAATTGAGGGTGACTCATTACGCGCATATTTTTTTCAGAACTTAGCAAGAAATGAAATACTGTCATGTTGATCGCAACTCATTTACTTTTTTTAGGGGTTACCGAAAGACAGTGTAGTGGGGCTGTTTGTTGCCATGGTAATCTAATGTCGTAAATATTATCAAAAAATAGGTTGAGAAATTCGTCTATTTAGTAATCTTTACGCCAGAGAGCTCCGTAAACTCAGATAACTTCACTAGACGTTTAAGCTTCTCTCCTATTGTGTTTTGCGCTAGCTAAGATATGATAACAGATACATGATTGTGATTCCCTACAAAGTAAAGCATAACAACTCATCTGGTGTTGCTAAACTATGGATCATTAGACCGCGGAACCTACGAAACCAGTGGAACATGCAGAACCATTAATTTTCAGTTATAAAAGAAAACAAGTAAATAAGATCCATCTTCTTTATACCCGAAAAATGAATTTTGAACAGTGAAAAGGTGATTTTAGTTTATATTTTATCTAATTATATGTATATTTTTTTTGACAAAAAAATTGATTGTTCCTCAGTTTAGTAACACTCCGACTCATCTTCAACCCGATACTTTTCCAATTTTATTTATTCCAGATGCTGAAATGCCTTCCCTGGAAGAAATACACTCAATAACTAAGGGCTAGCCCCAAACAAAAAGAAGCCGCGCAAGAGAAGTCGAGTTAGATCTTCAATTTTGTGCAGTTATAAAGATAGACATAAGCACTTTTCCTATTTCTGTAGAAAGAAGTATCACTTAGATGTACAACAGTAAAAAGAACATCGTTTTTTTCCCGTTAAAATTGATTTTAGTCTGAATGTTTTTACAAGTTTCTTGTGAATGTTGATCTATGTAAATTGAAAAAGAAGGGCTGTAACTAGTGTAACGACTGGTAGTATTGTCGACTACACTTCATTTTGACCTGAGGCTGAGGGAGCTTACGTTTGTTCTTACGTCCTCGCGATTGCAAGAAAAAGTAAATACAAATATCGTGAGGTCAAGGAAACAATGCTTTTCATGAGTTCACTTCTGGACAAAACCGAGTAAGACACAATTTCCTCTACTTTAAAAAGGATAGACATCTTTGTCTCTGCCTTCATCAATTTGTAATCGGTGCAAATATTTCTTTAATATTTCTGTAAATTCTCTGGTTATACTAAATAAACGCTTTTTGTTGCACTCATTTACTTTATTCACTTCCATGTAAAGCAAACGTTCAACTGAAAACAAACTTAGAAAAGTAGCAGGATATTGAAAAGCGAAACAATATAACATAAATTTAAATACCAACATTTGCGGCTCTAATCCTCAGGCGATTATCCAAACACGTGCGTTCACTTACTCAACTAATCGTTTACTAAATCAAGTTACATATACTGTAATACGATAAAAATAATGACGTGCGCTAACAATTTGTGTGTTTTTATTTCATTTCAAACAACGATTCCTTTGCTTCAAATTAAGGTAGAGAACAAGAGTTGTTATAGATTGAAAAAGAATACAATAAAGAGGGTCAAAGGTTACCGTTATGGTTTTACTTCTTTTTTCTTTTGTTCTTTAAGCCATGGAAATAGAAATACAGATTGAAAATTTTGAGAGGTCTCAGGATAAAACGTTTTTTTTTTAGCATTGTTGAGTGAGTTAGGTATATATCCGGGGGTATCTATGATTTAATCCCGCAAGGATGCTGAAATTTCCTTAATCGAGAAAATGCGTCATAATAAAGACGAAACGTCCTTATCTATCTGTCCCCTGTCAGGTTGGGTTATTTTGTCTCCCAGTTACTACTTGGGCTATCATTGGTCCATTAAGCGGGTGGTATTTCACTAATTGGCCTCCTGGTTCAAAAGTTTGCTTGAATTGAAATCTTCTCCCTCTGTTTGAATCCAGAGATGTAACAACTATCTTACTAAGCTCATTTTCTCGGTCAGTACTATAAGATACAGAACCTCGTTTTATCCGCCTCCCCCTTGGGACATAAATTCAAACGAAAAACTCGACCTCAAACTTGGTTAGTAAGAGGTATTTATACCTCGAAAAAAAGTTTGACCATTTTGGTCAGAAGGCTTATTTTGATTAAATCTATAGAACATTCTCCGAGAACGTTATTTCAAAACAAACTCATTACTAGATCAAATAAACTTCTCTTGCACCTGCTCTTAAACATTGATGAGACAATTCGGAATAGAATTAAGAAAACAGATAGACAACGAGTTTGTTGCTTCCTCCGATGATCGAATGCCTTTATGCTTTCTGTTTTTAATGTCTGTTGAGTTTATGTGCGTAAGAATTCCAGCAGTGTCCGTATGATATGAACCACGGGTTTCAAAGAAAGAAGTTGTTCACTTCAGTAAAGGTGAAAGTGGTGGATATTTACCTCGCTGTTTCGCGGCTCGGTTAAAATCCACCACTATTCATCTCCACTTAAGAAAATAATTATTAATTGTCGGTCACGATTACTTTTACATTAAGCCCTCTGTGTGATGAAAAGAAACTGGCTATGAAAACTAAAAAGTAGAGAATAAACCTGTACATTAAGTGTGAGAGAAAATTTTAAAACTATAAAGATAAATAAGCTTACCTTAAAATATCCCAAAGCTTTTTTTCACAACGTCAATGGCACGTTAAAAGCTGGAATTGCGGGTAGTGGTACGACAGTGAACACTGCACTACCCACGAAAGCGGAAAATATTAGATTAAAATCTTTTAATGCCTTCGCAATACAGAGCATCCAGAAGGATGGCGTTTTCTTGATTTTTGGTGCAATTCAGAGAAGCATATCGTACTGAAAAAAGGAGTTTTATTTGAGTTCTGAGTCATAATACATGACCTCTGGTATGTTCTCGTGGATTCGGTGCATTCAACAAAAAACGGAACTGTTTCTAGTGTAAAAGTCACGTGCTTTTCATCGCGATAAATAAGAGACCTGACCAAAACCATTATGTTCTAAAAGGTGATCAAATATCTGATCAACTAAGACACACTTACCTTCTAAATAATTTTTAATGGATAACGTAAGAATTTTTTGGGAAACTACTTTCTAGCTTCATTAATTCAGCAAAAAAAAAAAAATAAAACAACTGTTATCTCATTGAATTCTTCATATTCCCCGCAATATTTTTCTTGCATCTGTTTGGTGTGGGAGAAATATGCAATGACGAGTTTGGTTATTTCTCGATGCTTACCTAACCTGTTAATTTACTAATGTTTTATTACCTTGGCAGAATGTCGCGTGACATACCAAGAAGAACCCAATTAATTCATAGTTGACAGACGTCACCAATCCAAGGTAACATGGGGAGCGCACGCGCAGTTATATATTTGTTAGCAAACTATTGCGAAAACGAATCATAAACAAGGAAGTAAAAGTTAGTTTATTTTTTCTGGTTGGATAAAAATAATAGTTAAAGTGTTCAGTCCATTCTTGACACGTAGTGATCGAAAATAACAAAATAGGGTTGATTTAGACCTCCGGCGCCACTGAACTCACTTAAAAAGATAACAATACTTAGAATATATCAACATCTAGCCGGCTATGCACGTAATATATATTTTTTTCATTAATTCTACTATCTGAGCCAATAGCTGTGTGACACTTCGCCACCTTGTAATAATTTTTTACTTCCGATCTATATATGACCATGAACAAATCAATTTCAGTTACAACTCCCTGAAAGAAACGACCAAGCTTTATAACGGCAGTAAGAAAAATGCTATACATCTCAAATTTAAAGTTCCTGTTTTATGTGCAAAGTCCTAAGCATTTTAAACCCGGAAGTACATGTTTCAATGGATTTTTACCGTCTAAAGAGAAGGGTCTTGCCGCCTCGTTAAATTTTGTTATGTAATTCGGGACAAACATGACAGGAACACAGGGCGTCGGCTAGCCAAAAATAAACAACAGACAAATAATTGATGTCCCCTCAAAAAGAGGCGGCTTGAAAAATATGTGGTTGAAAGTGATTGATTATCGTATTGTGCGAAACGGCGCTTCTTGGAGAACGATGGTCGATTTTAAAAAGAGCAGTACTCATACCATGCGAAAGCTACAGGACACAGCTTTAATACATTTAGTCGGCGTACAATTATGGAAATTGTCTAAAGATTTAGAAATGTCATATGCTGTGTTACTTTATTTGTGTGTGGGAAGAAAACAATTGTTATACTATCGCTTTCTCCAAGGTCACGGTGAACTATTTGTCTGTTCGATTTTTGTGTCTGTGATGACGCTAACGCTGCAGTTTTCCTTTTGACGAAATTTTCAACCAAAAAGTGGCAAAACATTTCTGACCTATTGAAGCAGCCAAAAATATTTTCATCAATTGTTGTTAGCGAGTTGCATCCCAGAGCCTAAAGAAAGTAATACGCCTCTTTAGTCTAGAATACAAACAAACTATAGAAAACAAAAGCTATCCGATAAATATAGCAGCGCATTCATCTCTTTCTTATAGAAACTGACCAGACAAACTTGGATAAACAGGATGCGATATGCTACGAGATTTGATTTAGATCACATGTAATATAGTCCAGCGCTACTTCCGAATTATTACAGTATATATATTTGCGCCGCCAAAAAATTTATCGTCTATTGTAACTGTTGATCTTTCTTAAGGGATTAAAAATGATCGAACACGTGTTGTTTCATATGTAAAAATAACTAGAGTTAATGGCAAATTCAGCCGGAAGGTTTTGATAATCTGGAAAAACAATAATCTCACGCTCATCGTGGAGTCTCTGTGGCTTAGTGGTTTGAGCATCAGAGCGCGGAATCCGAAGGTCTGAGGTTCGATTCCTCAAGGGACTCAGAATTTTTTCTTTGTCCCACGCTCGTGACATGACGAAAAAAAAAAACTTCTTTTCTATTGCTTTACCGAGCTCAAAACTTACCATCTCTCTTATTTCTATCTACAAACATTACGCTATAGACAGTGCTGATCCTAGCAGTAAGCAGGACGCGTGTCATATAAACTTCGTAATAGATCGCGCTCACCGTGGAGGCTCTGTGACTTAGTGGTTAGAGCATCGGAGCGCGGAATCCGAAGGTCTGAGGTTCGATTTCTCATGGGGACTCAGAATTTTTTCTTTTTCCCACGCTCGTGACAAGACGAAAAAAACACCTTTCTTTAATAATCTCTATGTTTGCCCAAACTAAAGCCTTTCAGTCAGAGTCGTAGAACCAGCCAATCACAATCGTTTCAAATGAGATATCTTGTCCTTCTTGATAGCGATTTCTTTGCCCAAGGTCGTGTGTTGTCTGCGTGGTGAATTAGGAGAAAACGCTTCTCGATCGAAGCTATACAGGCGAAAACATTACAGGTTAGAAATAAAAACACCTTTTTCATTTGACCAGATTAACGTGTAAAACCAAATGCTAAGTTTAATCTTTTGTTTTAGAATCTGTTTTCGATGATTCAGTTACCAGCGGTTATTTAAAGTCCATTCTGGTTACATTTTCTCACTCGCACTCTGTTCACTTTTGATTTTATTTACGAGTGTCAATTACGTGACGTCACGCTGGAAAGTGAGACTTTGTTTGGGCTAAAAGTAAATTCATCAACAACAAACGCGACGGAATTGTTTAGCGGGCTTAAATTAACAATATTCTACGCCGTAATTTAACGCGATCTCGTCAAAAGGATTTCAACTAATTTTACATAAAATTGAAGGAAAAGGCCTTTTTACCAAAGAGTGCTTGCAAGCAGTCAGACAACAGATGTGGCTTAGTTCCTTCATTGATATTTCTGTCGCTGTGGCGTTACAAGGTAAGCGCGTGCATGCTTCTCACCATCAACAAGCTTCTAAATGTTTATCTTGGTTTGATTTGAAAAATCACAAAAATCTTATTCATACAAATTTATCGAGCTTCGTACAATAAAAATATGTATGACGCTGAATCTCATAATAGGGAAGACTTTCATGAGTAGGTATTAGTGTGTTGTCATACTGTTTAAATCTGGAGATAGATCAGTTTCACATGTATTAACTTGTGTGTTGCAAGTTGTGTAGAATAGTTCCCATCCACCAGACCATGGTTATGTGTTTATCCACGACAAGTGTAAATTTTATATTTATTTTTCAGTGTCGCTACAAAGGTTTAAATTAGTAATTTGTTTACCTCTGGAGAGTGATCATGAAATTTTGTCTCAGAGAAGATATCACCACGCAGAAAGTTACCTCTTCTCTTAAATACTTAGGCCTTTCGGACAAGCGACTTAAAAATCAAAGTTCAAGTCCAATAAATTGGGAGATCTTAAACTCAAAGGACATTAATCGAATGCTTTAAAAATCACGCATGAATCATAATACGTTATTTTTTATCATTATTACTATTCTGGTGACCTATTTTCAGCCCACAGCAACATTTTGGTTGAAAATATTACATCATTCCTCTTAAGCATCATCAAAATAGATTTAAAAATTATGTAGGGTTGCAATAATTTTTGTTCCTAGATGACGCAGGATTCTATCAAGGCATTTGTTCGAGAGAATTTCGGCAAGGATTACTTCCCAGTCTATCACGGCCAAACAAACATTATCTCTCCACTTGCGCTGATTGTTAAACGAAAGCGGTCGTTGTGGAAGCGCTCCTTTGGTAAAGGAGAAATGGTCATTGTTGGTGGATTGCAGAGGTATATTACTGAAGAGAAAGAGAAACACTTTCATAATTACTGCCAGTCAAAACTTATGAAAGAAGACAGGAGTTTGGAAAAAACAGAAACGAGTGATGTCAGCAGGTCAGAGTTATCATTCTTTCAATAAACTCTTTATAAGTACTGCTCATGCCCCATACGCCTTGTTCAATTTCCGTCTTTGCTATGTACTTCCGCTAAACAGGGGCCATAACCGGGTATTGAGACCCTTAGTGAGTTAAGCCTTATCTTTGCTCTCGCCTCCTACATGAAAAAAATTCCTTGTCATGCAACAAACTACGAGCCCTTTCGCGCAAATCTGAGTTTAGAGTTAAGTTAACTTAAAAATTTGAATGGTCATTGGGAAATGGGGACCTACGACCAGATACTAGGGAATAGGAAGTGGTATGTGGAAAATATGGAGTGGAGTATGGGAAATGGGAAATGGAGAATGAAGACTACGGCATGGAAAATGAGATATGAGTATAGCGAAATGGAATAGAAATTCGAAAAAGGAAACATGATGAGGATTGAAAAATGAGGAAAAGGGAAAAGAAAATTGACAAAGATCAACGAATCTAACATTTTAAGATTTTTACAGCTTCACTAAGCACCTGGTGAAATTTTCATTCCCTGAACATGACTGATACGTTGACAGGAATCTTGATGTCACGCTTGAAAGCTTGGACGCTGGGGGACTGGAACTAAAGTTGACCGACATTCTGGGTGACCTGGAGCTTGGCAAGCTTACAGAAGAGTATTACGTGGACGTAGATTTGCGCGAATTGTTGTCACACGCTGTGTTAAATGCTGATAAGATGACGCCATTAGAGGGTCACGATTTGCTTCTTGTCACTGCAGTGATGTATAGCGCCAAGTTTCTTCTTAAAGGCAACCGAATGCATCAGGTATAGTTTTTTGTATCAGTACAGGTTCTCGTTCTGTAAAGAATCGGTTTATAAGCTTTTCTTGATTATTAGAAGTTTTTCACAAGGTAAAACATGGCATACAGGGTGAACCTAATAGTTTTCTGTACCCCGAACTCACTTCAAAAGTACTTTGCGATATCGAAGTCTCATTCTACCTTTCATTTTTTTCCTCTTTTAGGCAACAGTTTCAGGAGAAGTCCACGCACCCTCCAAACTAACCTCGTTATTAGGGAAAGATCCGTTAATAAGAGGAAGCGTTACAAACCAGTCCTATCTTCCACCAATGGTACGAAGAAATTCTCGCGCGCCTTTTCTCTTTAAATTTTGTCGCGTAACTTATAGCAAGGAGGGGAGACGTTTACAGATTCAAGATGGCGAGTTTGTCGGCAAATCCTTTCGGAATCGGGGTGAACCCGCTCTGGTGCATTCAGTCATATCAGACGAAGAAGCAGCGTTGCATTTAGAAATGGAAGAAAGTTTCAGTCCAGGTATTAGTCTTGTTTGGTTAATTTAAGAATTTCTGGATTGCCATGTAGTTCTCTTATTAGACTGGAAAGATATTGTGAAATTAATAAACATGTGGAGGATCAAGGGAAGAATCCCGCGGGGGGGGAGGGGTTCTAGAGTGAGTCGCAGTTTACATTGAGGAATGGACACTTAGAGTTACCAGCCATCCGAATGGGTAACAGAGTACCAGTCAGTGTGGGTGAGAGGACTAAACCCATGAGGGTGGTGTTTAAGCAGACTACAGGAATAAAATATGATGATATGATGGACATGAACCAGAGTGAATTCTCGAGTATCTAATGTCTTAAGTATCTCTATAGGTCAAACGAGCAGAACATACATCAATTTCTCTCAGGTCCTTCTTAGTATTTAATTTTCACAAATTCAGGTGGAGTTTTCCTGACAGAGAAAGATAATGGAAAGGTAGAAGACATCAGAAAACTTCTGATCACTGCAGAAAATGGTACTCAGCTGAAAACACAGATACTTAGGTATTTGAATTGGGTAAGTTCTGACAACGCCGTACATTCCATTATTAAATCTTAAAATAACATTTTATACTATCCGCGTGATACTATCCGAGTCGATAAAATTAACTTGATAAGACTTTCAACTCTTCCACGCAACTGACGCAGGGTCTTGCAGATGATAGTGGCAGCTATCACACAAAATTAAAGGTTCAGAATGGCCGAGTCTATCTGGATTTTCCTGATAACAAAGACCTTATCACTTCGACGCCAACAAATTTTATCTTTGATGATGATTTTTCCAAGTGTGGATAATTTAACGTGTCTTAACTGTGAAGGTCTCCCTCTAAGAAAAATTGCCCATTTTCGGAGGGGGAAGAGGAGGGGAGGGAAGGGGAGGGGAGGGGAGGGGAGTACCTGACGATGACTGAAACGGGATAAGCTGCCGTCTTAGCAACTTGCTTCTACTGCAGACTCCTAGTTTACAATGTCTTTCATTAGTTTGAACAGATTTTGACAAGTGGCTCAAGACAGTTACAACTCGACAAACCACTAACGAAGGATGATTGTGACTTTCTTCAAAAACTTGGAATTCGAGCCAGGCCAAAGCAGTTGTTCCTGAGATTAGCTTCAGTGCAGAGAGACGTGATCCATGAATATGGCTGCCTGTTCAAATTGATTAGCGGTAAGATAAAATTGATATCATTCTTTAAAACGAGAATTTTATCACAGGGAAAAAAGCTTTTAAGTAGGGTGTAATCTAACTTAAATTAATGATTGAATGTAAAAGAATCATACATTTTTTTGCTTCACTTTGTGATTGGTTCTGAAAACTCGCACCACGCCCTCAACATGTCATAGACACGCAGAAGCAAAGTTCAGGGAAAACTCTTGCGATTTGCTTAAAGCTGACTAGATATCAAGGAAAGTTGTGCCTGTGTGATTCTGGACTTCAGCATTTCAATTATGGTCCATAAGAATTTTTGTAAACAGAGACAGACTTTTCCGTGCACGCTACAGAAAACAGTATGCCTGCGAAATAGCTGCTGTAGTTTTTAAAACTGAACAAAATAGTTAAGTATATAGTTCTACGTTAAATTAAGTATTGTATTTTACCGAGGGCTACTCGAGAGTTACTTACATATTTATGTGATCATTCTCACATTTTTATCCCCACAGAAGCATCGCAAGAAAACTGGGAAGAACTTCTTGAAAGCATAATGGATTCAGGGAAAGGCGAGGAGAAGAATGAAGATATGACAGCAGCAGAATAATTACTCTAAGATCAATGATGCATACTTCCTTTCTAACCTTTAACTAAAAAAATAAATGCCTCATTAGGGCCGATTCAAAATTTACTCACTGATCAATATCACATATAGTAGATACAGAATATCATGCCTGTCTTGTGTGACGACTGTCATTTTCAGTTTTAAGTCATAGAAAATTTACTCCAAAACGTACCAGAAAGAAAACCTTAGGGTCAGTTCATTATCGCTTTAAAATCATGAAACTGATTATTAGAGGTACCTTACACTGTATCGTGTCAGCAAGACAAACATGTCGCGAGAATAAGGTATCAAATAAAACACGTGTATTGTGAAAATTTCATGAGATAGTGGGTAGGGCAGTGTGTACTGCACTACCCACGAAAGCGGCAAATATCGGATTAAGATCTTTAAATGCCTTCGCAATGTGGAGCATCCAGAAGGATGGCGTTTTTCTTGACTTTTGCTGCAATTCAGAGAAGCATAACATATTCAGAATAGGAATTTTATTTGCTTTCTGAGTCATAGCATCCAAATGTAAGAATTTTTTTGGAAACTACTTTTCAATTTCATTAATTGAGCAAAAAAAATTTAAACTGCCTCTTTCTCATTGAATTCTTCATATTTCCCGCAATATTTTTTGGCGTCTGTTTGGTGTTGGAGAAATATGCAATGACGAGTTTGGTTATTTTCCTAACCCTGTTAATTTTCTAATGTTTTATTACCTTGGCAGAATGTCGCGTGACATACCAAGAAGAACCCATTTAATTCATTATTGACAGTCGTCACCAATCTAAGGTAACATAAGGGCGCACGCGCAGTTACATATTTGTTAAAAGTTAGATGTACGTGCAGTAGTGATTAGTATTTACCTTTCAAGTGAATCGTGTAATGCATTCCGCGCACGCTGATTGGCGCGCCGATAGGATAGTTCTGAGGTGAATGACAAGTACTATCCACTTCAGTAAGGGTGAAAGTGGTGGATATTTACCTCGCTGTTTCGCGGCTCGGTTAATGTCCACCGCTATTTACCTCCACTTTAGTGAATAATTGTTAATTGTTGTTCAAGATTACTTTACATTAAGCCCTCTTTCTGAGAAAAGAAACTGGCTGTGAAAACTAAAAAGTGGAAATAAAGGGATTTCAAAATCATAATAGTTCAGTCGTCGATTTCAAATTTTCTGTCTACCAACAGTTTTTAATCTCTGGCTCTTTATTCAAAAGCTAACAAAAAAGCATGAGATGAAAATTGTGATGAAGTGAATTTCACCTCAGGCAAAATATTAAATGCTAGATTTAGCTTTAAGAATTATTGAATAAGTTCTTTTAACTCTCAAATGTACTCTTAAAGTTCCTTCTTTGCATCAAAGTTAAGGATCTCCTTAACAATATTCTCGAACGATTCTTTGGCTGCTTGCAGACTCTCACGGGTTTCCACGAACGGATTGATGGCAGTTGCGAGGGAAGTGAGCATGTTTTCAATGTCATCAAGACCCAGTGAATCAAACTTCAACTTCTTATGAAACTCCTCTTTGTCCTTTTCCTTGTTGGACTTACTTTTCTCAGCTTTAATTCAATGCTTCCTCCATTTGCTCCTTCCGCCTCATTGCCTTCTTTTTTTATCTTTTTCTTTTGAAGTGTTGTCGCCCTCGTTCAGCTCCCCTTCAATTTTTTTCTGTTCCTCTTCATCGGAAAAAGCATGATAAATTTCAAGGATGATCTTCTTGGCTTGGCTGTAGAAATCCCGCACCATGTTAGGAGCTCTCTTCACTTGTTGGGCGTTGTTGCTGAAGGCCTTTTTGAGCCCCGGGATCTTTCCCAAATCCCACACGCTCTTAAACTCTCGTTCCAAGATTCCTTGCACATCCATTCCTTCAGCTTTCTGGACTGCATCTTCACTTCCTCTTGCGATAGTCATCGGCATAGCCTTTAATTCATTCGACAGCTTGAGTATGGCATTTACAGCAGCTACTGCGTCAGAAATTCCTTAAACTGTCTTTTTGCCCACTGTGTAAATGGCCAGAGCTCCTTCTTTTATCTTGACTGCAGTTCCCTCTGATGTGAGTCGCGTCTTCAGGGCGTGCACATATTGACTGAACTGCGCATGCGGACTAATTTGTTCCAGCGTGGTAACAGCTTTCTTAAAGGATTCCCCTGCTTTGGCCATGTCCTCGCAATTTTTTGGACGAATGGGTCCAACGTTATTTTAAAATCCGCGAAAATGTAATCCAACTCGGAAATGTCGAGCTTTTTGGAGTCGAGAAGTTTGCTTAGCTCGTCCTTAACCTCCACTTTTTTCTTCTCGGGCTTGGTTCCCTTTGTGCCAGAATTAGCAGCCTGCTCGACTGAATTTGTTCCCCTTGCGCTCGACTCAGTTTCTGGACTTTTCTTCCGACGGTTTGGTTTGGTTTGAAAATCGGGTACGACATTCTCATCTGCTGAACGATTACTATTCATTCTACTGATTCTTTGGTTATAGAAGTCGGAATTTCCATCATCACAATTCTGAGTAATGCACAAACAAAAAACAAAGCAAAACAAAACATTAACAGAAAAAAACACAGCAAAAGTAATAACAAAAAGTAAAAAAAAATATATGCATCTGAAGGGTGGAGAAAAGTCTGCCAAAATGGTAAGAGTCACACAAAATTAGTAGGTCACACATTCCCTTTTTTCGCTCATAGACGGTACCCTAAACTAAATTCCTTTACAAGAACCTCCCGCGGTCAAGGTATGGAGGGGATACCCGCACGAAGGATCTGTGTAGGAGATAACTGCCTCATTGCCTCAGAATACCAACATTTCTGAAGAAATTTGTAATTATATCAACGTTTCCCACTCAGCGCCTTTGAAAGCGTCAATTTCGAGTTTCCTCAACATATAGTTTACCTCATGGGCAGAAATGTAGGACATCATGGCGGCCAAGCATGCGCAGAGTTTTCCTAATGCCCTATAAATATTTCCGATGCTTCTAAGTGTCATAAAGTCGTAAAGAAAAGAAAAACTTGCATCCTCGATTATATATTATTATATGTGATGGTCTCGAAGCGTCGGAACTTAATACAACTAATCTTATATAAAACAGATGCATCAAAATCAAGCCACAAAATCAGGGTGTGTCCTGTACAAACGAAACCGCAAACGCGTGACTAAAGGTTACATGAAGAAATTGATTAAAAATAAACGTGACTGTTCGTAACACTACGGATTTGTATGGCAAAGGTCTAATATTAAAAAATTTTGACAAAATGAAAATAATAATCGTACTTGCGAGCATCTGTGTGTTATCGTGTTAGTGAGTTGTTGTTTTGGACGAAATTTTGAGGTTCACACTCGTTTCGTCTTTGATCCCTAACAAATTACGCTAATCCCATATAATAGTCGTATTGCACTTCCATACAAACACAGTAAATTGGCTGAAATAGCCAAACTTCGACCCGGCACATCCGCGAAAGAAGACACTATTGGTAGGTTGCGAGCATCGCGCTTCGAACAGGGGTCTCTTATCTCTCATTTTGTCGCACTTTTTTGGATGAATGTGGCATTCTCCTCGATCCCCGAAAAGTTGAAGATTTGCAGTATTCATCGCGAACAGAACAATGTCCCCAGGGCTCTTCCGACCTGACTTGAAATCGACTCACAGCCCCTGGGTCTCCGAGGATGCAACCTTGTGTGCGCGTTCTTGTAATATTTGTGTATTTTTTGTTGTTCTAAATAGCTGAAGTAGATGGATACACAGCTAAATCGTCTATGAAACCAATTTTTTTCTACATTGGAATATTTCTGCTTTCAACTTGTTGAATCGAAATGGCAGATTCAAAAGAGGACGTTAAAACAATCCGTGATGCCCTATAATAAACCAAGCGTACTTTTAATCAGTAACCGAACAAGTAGTTGTGTTTGAGGATCGCCCTCTCAAAGGATACATAAGGCCGAAGGGAAACCTCAACACCCCTTTTACAAGGGACAATATTATTGACGTAAATTCCATGTTTTCGATTGCTTATTTTAAAAAATCCGTTCCAAAGGGAATTTGTACAGGTATGTATAAAACTGCAATTTATTCCAAAAAAGATTTTACATACAGCCGAGTAGATTTATTTTTGAGAATTTAAGGTGGGTCATTACGTACAGATTTTTTCAAAACTTGGCAGGAAATGAATACTGTCATGTTGATTGCAACTCATTTACTCTTTTAGGGGGTTACCGAATTTGGTTTTGGGTAACAAAGATTTAAAGCTAAAGTTAAGGGTGTAATGGGCCTTTTTTGTCGCCATGGTAATCTAATATGTCCCAAAAAAATTTCAAAATTTATTGAGAAATAAGCAGACTTTTATCATCGTCTATTCAGTAATTCTTACGCAAGAAAGCTCCGTAAACTCCAATAAGTTTATGACGTTTCAGCTTCTCTCCTATTCTGTTTTGCACTAACCAAGATATGATAACACACACATGCTTGTGATCCCGTCAAAAGTAAAGCATAACAACTCAATGTGCGGAATTAAAAAAAGTAAATAAATAAATATCTAAAATTAATCTCCTGCACAATTGAAAATGAAATTTTGAACATTACTAATATGATTTTAGTTTCTATTTTATTTCTTTATATATATATATATTTTTTTTTTGGACAAAAAAGTTGATGGTTCCTCGACTCATCTTAAACCTGATACTTTTCCAATTTTATTTCTTCCAGATGCTGAGCTGCCTTCCCTGGAAGAAATAAACTCCATAACTAAGGGCTTGCCCAAGAAAATAGAAGCCGCACGAGAGAAGTAGAGTTAGATCTACGATTTTGTGTGGTTATCAAGATAGACATAAGCAATTTTCTTCTTTCTGAAGAAAGAAATATCACTCAGATGTCCAACAGTAAAAGGGGTATGAAAATGTTGATCCACGTAAAATAAAAGAAGGGCTGTAGTAGTGCTACGACTGGTAGTATTATCCACCTGCACTTCATTTTGACCTGAGACTGAGAGCTTACGTTTGTTCTTGATTTCTCAATTGCAAGAAAAAGTGAATTAAAACATTGCGAGGTCAAGGAAACAATGCTTTTCCTCCCTCCCACCTCTGGACAAAACCGAGCTAGTACTGTTTGGAAAGCTACGTTTAATTATCTTATGCCCCAACGTTTTCTGTTTCAATTTTACAAATATATTCTAGCGATAGCAAAAAAAAAGACTTACTCAATAAACAATTAAAAATAGGAGAAGACAAAGTAATCAAATTTGAGAGCAGACAACAAGATATCAGTTAAGAAGTATTTGGTATTTGGGGTCGGGAATAACCCATCTCCATTTTTTAAGTATCTTTAACTTGATCTTCTTTGTATCCCATCTTGTTCCCTTAAATTTGAACTTTTTGTTTACCAGAGAAACCCATCAAATAAACAATCCTTTGGGTAGACCGGTAAATTTTTGTCAGCAGAATATGTAGGGACAGACAAAAAAGATCTAAGAATCTGAAAGACCTCTTTGTTCAGCCGCAAATCGCAAGAACTTTGTTAATGAAGAAAATTTGTTAGAAAAACTCTGTGGAACGCGGAATAATGAAAGTTTGTGAAACTCAGTGGATCAGTTAGGGGAAATTTAGCCTTTAGCAAACAGAGGAAAATTTCACGCTGATATATATAAAAGATACATAAGAATACAAACAGACTCTTTTTTGGTGAAGTGGTAAAAGTTTAATATTCATGTCAGCGAAAAAATTCAGTTCTAGGGCAATAGCATTGATTGTGGATATATACGCATACGTATAGTTCATTGAAATAATTGTGTAAAAATCGCTAATTGAGCCATATGTGAAACTTATTGTATAAGTGTAAATGTATTAAATGTTTTGTGCATCATGAATGTTTGTGTTTACTGGATCTTGAAACTGCGGAGCATGGATAAAAGGAAAATGCTAAATCAATGGGTCTAAGGCGAGTCTTTGCTCTAGACTCCCATTAAGGTTGCCAGTATAACTACTATTTAAAAGAAATTCTTCCAAAACGTGGTGCTCTGAATCGATATGTACAGCTTTAAATTCCTTTAATATGTGATACAAGAGAGTTAATAAACTTTCCCGATGTCTATGGCTTTTAACCTTAAGACGTTCGTGACGTTTTAAAGTTTATTTGATTCTCAGTTCTTGACCTTCCCAATTCAAGCATAGTGTGGTAAACATTTTCCTGCCTTTAACCCCTCCAACAAATAAAATGCTGCGAAGTGGTTAAGGGGTAACTACAGACCTGTCCCTTTCTTTTATAAGTAACAATTCTACTAACAGTGGTTTCATTTCTCCCTCCCGTCGTATCTCTGACCAGTCCCTCTGACTGTCTCTAGCGCTAAGTAACTCGGAGTGACTCTCGCTCTGATTCTGACCGACGAACGAATTCTATTAACCGAGACAAATGTGTTTCTACTCAAGACTAGTTCAAATTTTTCGGTGCGACCGATGCAACAAGTGCGACCGTTTATTACCGTTCAGATCCCTATATTCTCCTTTTGCGCAACGTGTTTACATATTTACAGAACTCGCTGTGCGAACTTGGACTACCTGTGGTGGCAAAAGGCTCAAATAATGATGTGAAATATCTATGAAGCGTTCGACGGTTAATATTTTGCTTCGTTTTCAATTGCTGACGGTACTAACCAAAAGATTATAATCTCTTGCACTACCAATCTAAATCTTTAGATGCTTGACGAATGACGGACCTCATTGAGACCCTCAATTTTCAGCAGAATCTCGTTGTGTACAAGAGTTGCAGAGTTGGAGATGGTGGTTTCCTAGTACTGAGGGCATTGCATTGGCAAATAGTTAGAAGAGTTCACTATTGTTGTTATTAGCATAAAATTTGTTTCTAACAACACTACATCTACTTTAAGTGTAATAAATCACTGAACTGAAAGTGTTTTTGGTTTGGGAATAACCAATTTTAGTGATTTGCGTATAATTTTCCTTGATCTTAGTCGTAATACATCCTCTTCTCTTCTCCTTTTGTGACGCACCCTTTTCCCCGATCTTCTTTTCAGTAATGTTTCCTCCTCGTAATGCAAGTCTCCATCCAGATGCAGAGCACTCTTGGCCACCCCATTTGGTGCGTTGTCCTGTAAAAATTAATAAAGAGATAAACTGGCATTTTTGTATAGGTAATAAAACGATTTCGAGTGCAATTTGGTTTTTATAAGCGCGAGTAAATCTTTCAAATACAACAAATAGTCTAAACAATTGCACGAGCCCGTAGAGTAAGCGAAATTTGGAATTTTGTTAGTAAATTTTCTGTCTTTTAAACAACTTACGATGGACAATCCTTCCCAGAACATTTGCGAGTAGGTGTTAGGAGGAAAAAACTTATAACAGGCCTCCCCAGCTCGCCTTGGTCAATTTTAGTTCCATTAGGCTACACCATGACTCATCCTCATTTTCATACTGCACATGGGAGTATTTCTCATTTTCTGTTTCATCTTCTTCCAGCTCTGAAGATAGATAAGCTCCATATTATTTAGTTACATACCGTTCATAACCAAACTGAGTAAGAGACCCTTTTACGATTATTACCTCTTTAGACTACAAAATTGGTCTACCTCATTAATGTAACAAACTAGTAATAATAATAATGATATTATATAAACTTTAGGTGGAACTGCTCCGATGAGAATGGAAAAGCGTGCGTTCTGATTGTTCGAGGATTGCGTTATATCTCGCTGTAATCACCTAGCGCGAGGTGATTATATAGCAAGGACGCTAAATTTCAAAATAGCTACTTTGCATTTTGTTAATGTTTGGTAGGAACTGATAAACGCGATTGAACAAACTGCAATTCTGATAAACACAAAATGTGCTATTACGTTTGGCGTACACCTTTTATAAGAAACTAATGAAGTTTTTTCTGATTTATCAAAACAATTGTAACAGAAAGGTACCGAATTTACGACAATCTTCGAAGACACCTGAGCAATTACACTAAAACAATTATTCACCTCAGGCTCAATGAATGTTGTTAACTATGTTTTATTCTTGTTAAGTGCATTTGATAATACTTACATGGACTTACAATATACAAATTTTAGTTATCAATTAATTTTATGTTTTCACTGAATGCTTACCTCCTTTGTTGAAATACATTTTGAGGGCACAAATATCTTCTTTTAAACCTGCTCAGAAACAACATAAATTGAATCAGCATTAGCCAATTAAAACAACCAAAGCACGAAAACCATTCACCTTATTGGTATGTACTACTTATAATGAACATAGCGAATAATCTGCTGGCTGTGTTTATCAACTGATCTATAAACCCCGAATATGCTTTGCGATTCACTACCGAGAAACGAGCGCAGGATTTGCACCCCAAATAAAATATAATCGTTTTATAAATAAATGCATCGAAATCATCTTATTGCGCCATATTATCCTACCGTTTCAGTATATACTTAAACAATTATTCACCTCAGTGTCGGTGGCTAGTGCTGGATATTTACCTCGCCCTTCGATGCTTGGTAAATATCCATCACTAGCCACCTATTTCTCGGTGAATAGCAGTTGATTATTCCCCAGTGGTCAAACACGTACAGCATGAAACTACACTTCAAACTTTACCTGATATGTACTCGTCATCAGATTCTGAGGACTGACTGGCTGACTCTTGATCCCTTACATCCCTACACCATTTTTGAAATGTTTTCTTCACTGCCCTTTTTATACGGAAGTCGTCACGAGGACCTGGTTTACGTCTCGGTGACTCTTTTCCTTCGAACCAGTGCCAGTGACTTACAACTTTCAGTTCCGCCTGAAAGTTAAACTCCTCCGGTGTAGTAGGGTAGTTGTCCTTCATGTATTCTACAATGGCTTGCACCAAGGAATTACAATCCAGTAAAGACATTCCTCCTCGACACTTCGGAACCTCAGCTTTTTCCCATTCTAGATCTAGATCCTTGTGTAGTTGCAGGGAATTATGTGCTTTCTATGGGTAGAAAAGATAGTTAAAAGCCAAGATATTTTTCAAGACACCGTGAAATCAAAAGAATAAAGAAAACAATATCTGGGAAAAAAATTTCGAAACAGCCATGATATTGATAACACTTAGACTACTCCTACGCAGATTTCATGTAAAAATGTCAGAAAGGATAGAACAATGGTCAGCTAAACAAAGCCTAAAAGTGAAAATAATGAAGTGAAAAGAATGAAGCATTACTCCTGGACAACGAGGAGAAGTTATTTTTCCATCTGTTTTGACAAGGCAGACACCTTTAAACTGTGGATGATCTTCCACCTGTAGCTTGGAAGGATCTATGACAGCTTTCCAGAGATAGACATCAACACTGCCTCGTTTTCGTTGTCTTTGGTTCCATTTTTTTGTGTCTTTTTCTTGATGAAGAGGATAATACAATCTTGGATCCGTAATCAGCCAAACTAAAAATGAAGGGATACTTTTTGTTTTAACCTGGATTAATGATATTAAAAGACAGATGATTAAACATCCCTGACTCAGGACTCCTGATCTAAATTAGCCGTTGTCATATATTACCGTCGCTGTCGCCCTCATTATTGTTGTCATTTTTATCACCACATTTATTAGCATCCGCATCGTCCTCATCGTTGCGAGACTTCATGCTTCCGGGTTCGGATCACATGACCCTAAAGCCAACGAGCTTTAGCTTTTGCCGGTGATTATATGATTCAGTCTGCTATCCAGTTGTAAGCTTGTACCGTATTTTCTCATCACTGATGAATTTTTCTGACAAGTTTCAGAGAAATAACTCCTAGGGTTTTGACATATCTGTTTACAGTAATCAGGCCTCTGATAAAATTCACCCTATCTAGTGTAAAACCACTCAATTCGGAATGGTGTTGCCGTAAGTAGCTGTTAATTAACGACAACACATAACATTCATCGCCAACCGTCAAATATATTGCTTATCCTATAGTGGCCCATAACTGCTGGAACTTTTACCCACGTTTTTACTTTTCTTATTTCTTCCGCAAAGTAATTCTGCCTCGTTTCCATGCTGAGAGATCCATGAGATTGTAAGCGCATGCGCCGATCAGTGCAACGCTTATCGCCGATTAGATTAGCTGTGTTAGAAGTTCCTCTCCAAAGAGAAAGATTTTCTCTGCAATTTAAGATGGGCGAACTATCGCCACAAGCAAACGAAAGTACGACAGTTTTTTTTCGGCGTCAGATCGGTTTCAGGCGCAGTTTTGACCGCCTGGACTGACAAACTTGCCGGATTTCATCAAGAACAAGGTAAAGGTGTAGAGAAGCACGTTGACTCCTCCTCTAAACGGTATACTCAGCCTATTTCTCACTTTTGAACAAAAGATCCCACCATGTCACTTGAGATGGGTGAGAAGATACATGTTAAGTCTCTCAACTTTCATACATGAGGACAGCGGCGGCCACAAAAACTACAACAAAATCCAGCCGCCATTCGAGCGGAAAAAGCGCGCCAAAAGAGCGCCATGGCGGTTCACAAAAATCTGCTACTCCAGGCCAAAGTTCAACCACAGATGTGGTTACGGCCCTCCAAGATGAACAAGGGACTTATCACCTTAGGTAAAATGCTAAAAGCGAAAAACGATTCCAGCTCGCTGCGCTCACTCGTGAGCGAGTATAGAAAAGGAGAATAGGAAAAATTATATATCCTATTTCATTGAAGTTAGTAGCTACGGTTAACTCTCTGCTAACAGTCCCTTTCGTGAAGCTCCTTACAGGTTAGAAATAACTTGCAATATGGATGAAAGATGCGTACCAGGGTCACTCTACTATAATAATTAGGATATTAAATTGAATTCGATATTTACCTTCACCTTTGTCGCTTACATCTAGCACTGGACCGGTGCTAGTTCCAGTCACGTAAACAAGAATGTTCTTTGACTTTAACATTTTTGTCTGATAGTACCCTTGCCACAGCTTTCGCGCGAAAGGTTCAGTCTTTTAAACTGTCATTCGACCTTCTATTTGGCTTCGTAGCTGTAACAATCATGGGTTCCTTTGACCGCTAAGCCATCCCCGCAGTTTTCTTTACCTCACTCCACTCTCTTTAAGTGAATTAGTCAAGAAATTAAAACCTGAGATTCTACAACGTGCCCGAAAATGTTGGGGAAGATCGTACAACGGAGCTCCGGAAACTTCTTCTAAAGAATGGTCTGGAATTCCAACCCAACATCGAGAATTCTTACAGAATCGATGTAAGTTTATGCAAATGGTGGTCCTCTTCTATTTCTCATCTATATCATTCAATGATTTTCCGAACAGCCTTTGGAACCAACCTCGACATTCTATTAAATGACATGGATAACCATCTACATACTGTTTATGAATGGCTATGTAATAACAAATTAACCTTAAATCTTTCCAAAACTAAATATATATTCTTCATACCGTGGCAAAAGAAAAATCAAAATCGATATCCACAATTAAAAATAGCAAACATTTGTCAGTAGAGCAATCCTAATTTCTCAAGTACCTAGGTGTGCTGATTTCTTAAGTAGTAAAATTAGTGACAATATGAATATCCTAACAAAGTTAAGGCCTCACCTAACGATCAACACACTTAGGTATATTTATCATTCTCCGGGTAAATTACTTTTTGGTGGACAATTTTGAAAAGGAAATTGAATTTTGGTTTGTTTACGCTCTCTCTAATGGAAACCCATTAATTGGAAATAAAATTTGGCTTGAATTTGCAAATGAATCAAAATATGACCTTTTGAAAAAGCTGAAGAACAGCGGCAATCGGGTAGAAAGGTGTCCGTTCGTTTAATATTAGCAAGAGTCCGATAAATAACTCTCTTCTTTACCTCTCTCCACTCCCTTCAACTAAAAAGGAACTAAACATGTTTTATCGAAAGTATTGTTCGGTTCTTGAAGCTCTTCATCGAAATCCTAGAAAGGGGATTACGATTTTGGTTTTTTTATTTTTATTTTTTTTTTCCAAAAAAAAAATTGAAAAACCCTCAGATAGAGGAACATCTTGATACATTACATAGCAATAGCGGACTACTTACCTTAAAGTTTCACCTTTTGTTGTGGATGTCGATAACTCGACGAAATCGAGTAATTGATTATCAGCGAAGACTTGCTGTTCGGATAACTTAAAAACTTTGAACAATTGTGTCATGACAACTGCATATAATGTTTGACGTTATTCCTCTCACAGAACACACTTCCCCTTGGAAACCAGATCACCAAAATAAACATACTGAGCAAAAAGTGATTTTTTTCGTTGGCAGGACTATTTAAGAACAGCTTTTTTACACATCTAAAAAGTAATTTACCCGGAGAATAATTAATACATCTAAGTGTGTTGATCGTTAGATGAGGCCTTAACTTTGTTAGGATTTTCAGATTTTCACTAATTGTACTACTTATGCTTAATCAGCAACAACAGAGGGAGGCATCGTGGGTGTTGCAATAAATTGAAAAAAATCGGTTTGAAACCGAGCATGCAATGAAAAAAAGTCAGTGCAATTGTAATGATCGTTGTCATTATGGTGGCAACCTTTGGATGAGGAAGTTCGCTCAGTTAGGAGGGATTGCTTTGGTAGCTACAGTTGAATCTCTGCTAACAGACCCTTTCGTAAGCGGACAGTCGTACTTACACGTTTTTCAATCCCCCTCTTTGCCTCCGAGTAAAACTTTTTATTTACACATTCCCGTAAGCTTGCTCTTTGGTAAGTGGAGGTGGACAATTTTGAAAAGGAAATTGAATTTTGGTTTGTTTATGCTCTCTCTCGGCGGAAACCCACTAATTGGCAAAAAAAATTGGCTTTATTTGCAAATCAACCAAAATATGACTTTTTGGAGAAGCCAAAGAACAGCGGGAACTAAAAAGAAACTAAACATGTTTTATCGAAAGCAATGTTCAGTTCTTGAAGCTCTTTATCATTTATTTTCGAAATCTTAGATTGGAGATTACGATTTTCGTCTCCCCTTTGATTTAAATAGAGTTGTCAGGTTCCCTTTCTATTAAAAAAAATTTGAAACACCCTCAGATGGAGGAAGATCTCGATGAATTACATAGCAATAGAGAGTTTTTTACCTTATAGTTTAACCTCTTGTTGTGGATATAGATAACTCGATGAAATCGAGCAACTGATTATCAGCGAAGATTTTCTGGCCGGATAACTTAAAGATTTTGAACAATTGATTCATTACAGCTGCGTACAAAGTTTAACGTCATTCCTCTCACAGAACACACATCCCCTTGGAAACTAAAATACCATAATTAATATCTTTTACTGAGCAAAAAGTAATTTTTTTTTTGGCAGTACTATTTAACAACTGTATACATTTTTGTATTTACACATTCCCGGAAGCTTACTCTTTGGTAAGCGGAGGTGGACAATTTTGAAAATGAAATTGGATTTTGGTTTATTTACGCTCTCTGTAAGCGGAAACCCTCTGGTTGGCAATAAAATTTGGCTTGAATTTGCAAATCAACCTAAATATGAAATTTTGAAAGAGCCAAAAAACAAGTTACGCGCTTATCCCCGAGGGTGTTCGCACTTTCCAGTGAGTTGCAATTTTTAGAAATTTGGATTATAATCAAAATTCATAATCGAGCGTTTTCAACTGATTTGGTTATGTAACTTGGCAATAATAAAGAGATTCTCAAGCTGACGTCAGTGAGTGTCAGACCCTCACTTGAGCTTTAGAGTGATTTAACTCGGTTAGTACAAAAACCTCGTAAACAGATCGAACGCTCTTGAAATTGAAATCTTGAAACACTTTCAAAGCGTCCTTTTTGATTATGGCACAAATGGGGATTTTGGTGGATCGGGAAGATGGCTCGAGGTTTGCATTAAACTACAACCAACAGACAACTGGAAATTTGTTTAGATCTGCAAAGGAGCCGGAGAGACTCTTCAGGAGAGAAGAAAAACTAAGAATGTGCTTTAGAAGTGTTTATACAGACTTCTATGAGAGAGAAATGGATAAGACGGAGAGATCTAGTGGGAGGCAAAGGGGGAGATTCAATTACGATTTTGTCGTTGAGGAAGAAACTGGACTGATCATTGTGAGGTTATCTTCAGGTAAATGCATTGCACGAAACACAGCTTAAGCCATCTTGTTTTCAGGTAACTTTGCTGATCCTATCAGACATTTTTTTTAAACCTTCGTCCCATCAGCTAAAATTTCTTCTTACGGAAGTCTAAGAGGAAGAATTTACTTGAGATAAATCTTTTAGAAAGATAAAAGAAGGGCAGTCTTGTTTCCACAAGGATAAGTCGCGTTTCAACTTGTAGACAATTATCTGCCATGCCAATTCACTTCTCCTCAGGGGTTCTTATTTAAAATTTTCATTAAAACGATATTCTTTTAGGCTCTCACGCAAATGGCTTCCAGAATTCATCAATACCGAGATTAGCTACAGGGTGCGGGTAAACTAATACTGATGTTCACAATTGGTCTATTTTGACCCTTCTAGGTGGACTGCAACTTAAGCAGTAGCCGAAAAGAAACCTGAAACAATTCAGGCTTTGACGGGATACGAGCTCGTGCCTCTCAGATATTAATAGGGGGCTATAGGCAAATATTGCTGGGTTTTTCTTTCCCGAAAGGAAATCTTACCATTGTAGCAATGAGATGAAGGTCTACCTAACTTCAAACGAATACATCTTATAAAAATTGTTTTATTGTAATGTTTTCATATCTAGTTTCTCAGTTACTTTCGACCAAAATAAAACAAAAGGGAGCGAAGAAGGAAAGATAGGCAGGTAGGGAAAGAAGAGAAGGAGGGAGAGTGGTTTGAATTAGTAGATAGATGAATGAAAGTTAGACTTCACAGCTCCTACAGGGCTATGCTTCTAAAAAATCTTACCAAAAAAGGGAAGATCAAGGTAAAGAGATACATTTTAAAATACTCAGGTTCAACTATCTTACTCCTAGGTTTCAGTACGTCATTACAATGATCTCCTATTTGGCTCTCATTGAGTGAAAATCTGCCATTACTCGCGAACGAGAATCACACCTCTGTGCTCCTATAGGGCTATGCTTGCAGCACTCTTGTGAAAAAAAAAACGTTGTTAAGAATTAAATTTGAAATAATTGCTTCAACCATCTTTCCCCTAGGTTTCAGCACGTTTAAAACCGTAGATGCCCTTAGAGAGTGCCTGAGTGGAGTTAGGGACGATCAGATATGGCTATTGGAAACAGGTACGCCAATACCAGAAGAATTCCAAGTGATAAATGATCGCCTTGCTCACGTAAAGATCCTGCCCAGTGAACATGCTTCTGTTACTGTGGAGAAGTTCCAAGAGGTATTTATTACGATTTATTTATTGAAGCATTACAATTATGAAAAGATAAATTGTACGATCTTATAGTCTATATTGCTAACACAGCCGGTTTTATGTGAGATGACTCAGTCCAGTGCGTTGAAATGATGCTATGCGAGCTAACCTGTCTCAGTCCTTCGGTTAGTGGAGGTGTGCAATGTAGAATCGAAGGCGAACATACTAATGTTGTTGTGGTTGTCAGAAAACGGCTTCCCTATTTTTTATGGCCTGATTATTTCACTCGTTTCCACTAACCAAGAACGGTCCAGGTTTTATTTACTTCCACAAGGATTATTTTTGTTTTACTGTTGACTCGTTAGGTCGCCTCGCTCTCTTTTCTTTTCTTAGATGCTGTGTTGTCTCAACTGGGTGAAACTGTCTATCGAGCAGGAAAAACGAGAACGAAAAGCAAGCAAGAAAAGTGGTAGAAAGTGCTAATACACGGTAGCCTTGTTCAGTAGCAATGTCTACCACTACGTAGCAGTTCACCATCCTATGTAGATTTGTATTAAAGAGTGTTTTTTATCCTTGATTATGCAGTGGAACAACGAAATCTTGAGAGAGCTGTATTTAATTTCTCACTGTTTGCTTACCGGAAACTACGGTATATGAATTATTACAAAGTGTTATTAATAATTTTCATGGCGTAAGAATGGGTTGGAATGTGCACTGATAACCCTCGAAAGCATGTTTTGTTTTGCTTTTATTTTCTTCTTTACGAAGAGACTAGCTTTTACTGACAGAAAGACGTTAAGGTCCCGGAAGGAGAGTGTTGCTGCGAGCTTATTATGGTTAGAACTTTTCCAATTCCATGCCAATTCATTACTCCTCAGGGGTTCTTATTTAAAATTTTAATTAAAATGATATTCTTTTAGGCTCCCACGCAAATGGCTTCCAGAATTCATCAACACCGAGATTAGCTACAGGGTGCGGGTGAACTAATACTAAGCCTATTATGATTAGAATTTTTTCAATTTAGATTAATGGGAAGTAAGGGAGATTTCCAGTTCAAATGATTTTTCCGCGAAGGAAAAATCATCCATAAACAAACTTATGAAAAATTTGAATCGTCAAAGAACTGTAACGATTGCCGAGACGAATGAAGTAGTTGTCAAAAAAAGACGCGATTTTGCTGAAACTCAACCAGGCCAAAAGAAAACAAACAAACTGCTTTTTGATCCCTTATTGCAACCGACATCGACCTAGAAATCCTGTCTGCGTTTTCTTACAAGGTATATGAAATATATAGGTATATGGAATATATATCTAGGGCTAACCTTGCTTCGTGGATAAAGTGTGCTGATTATATCGGAGGTAGCTAAATATATAGCTAGATGATAAGCTTTTCATATTTCAAAATGTAATTCTCGTGTAAATGATGTAAAACATCGTCCTTTGTTTGTTACTTCACAGCTTTTAGAGCCAGTTTTGAGATAAACTGTTGTTTAAAATTTTGAAATAAACTGCGATAATGTACTAAACCCATTCCATCCTCTTCGGTCCTCTTTTGACACAAAGATAAGATAAGTTCCCTCTACGCATAGAGAAGAAACGCCCAAGTTACCATTTCATGAAAATTGTTTTTGGCTATTTATCCGCCATGTTTGGTTTCCGCAAGGTTTGACAGGGATTGGGTGCATGATGCTAAGTTGTAAAAACCAACTTCCCCCCCTCCCCCGCTTTAGAAAGGAATGACCAGGATGGGGTGCATGATGAAAAGTTGTGAAAACCAAATTTCCCCCCCTCCGCCCTTTCGCAACAAATGAGTTACTCATGATTCATGGCACCTCGGGAAATAAGCAGATGGCCGATCAAAATGAAATGTTTTTGTCGCTGATCTATATTTGTCTTCAAGGGAAAAAACAAACAAACAAACAAACAAACAAACATCGCTGAATCGTCTTCGGCTGTTAATGACGGCGTCAATTGTCAAAGGCATAACATTCGCGGTGGTTAACAGGTCTGTGCATGCTAATGCCACAATCAGCATGGTTGTAGACGAACGAAGCTTGGAGTTGCCGTAAGGGATGAAACACAGGATAGCATTATCAACCAAGGCAACGATATTAAAAATAATCAAAACAGTGGATTCCACCACGAGAGTTGTTTTGTTTCTGGACTCGAGCTGCTCCTGTAAAATGGCCAATACATCCCCGCTGGTGTCCCCGGGGTCAATGTTATTCATGGCTCAAACTCAAGAAGCAAAAAACCTTTCTCTGTGTCGACAACCAACAGCTTATTTTCTGCAAAAAAAAAAAAAATTGGGGAACGTATGCACTTGATTTACCGTTGACGCAAACTCTCTGGTATTTCAGTATTATTTTACTTGAAAGGGATTAACTGTTCTCAGTTACCACTAATGTACGTGCTTAAAGGGAAGATAAAATTTTTTGTCGATAAAATTTGCAGTTACAACTATTTTTCTGCCACAAAATGATCCTCCACTGAGGCTCACATTCCGGTATTTAAGTATTATTTTACTTGGATGGATTATCCCTCTGAGTTACCGCCAATGGCCGTGCTTTAAGCGCGGTTAATATTCTTTGTCGATAAAAATTGTTTCAGAGGTAGCTGAGGCAACAAAAGAGACCATTTTCACTTAATGCTTCTCATTCAGAAAATGATAGCTTTTTAGCCTCACCAGAGATTTAGTAAATGACAGTTTCAGTAAGTTGGTGAGAACGAACAATGCTGCTCTTAAATGATAAAAGTGAATGAAAAAGGACCACTGGTCGATTGAAGTCGTCGATACCACTTTTAAAGTCTATTTGTGCGTCAAAAAAAGGAAAGCTTGAGTGCTTTTCTCAAAGCAACCCGCGCCCAAGATGCAATCGTTTCAACTGTCCATAGGTGAGCGAGTGCTTCACAAGAAGATGTCAACCTAACTAATATTGACTAATGAAAACAATACAATTTTCGAAAAAGGGAAGTACCAACGCTCAACATGAGTTCCCCAATAAATGCGGTTATACGCATTTACATTTAAGGATTAAACGAGAAACATCTGCCCAACCCCAACACAAAGAAAGAAAATAAGACAGCATTTTTGTTATAAAACTGCGCTTTTTCAGAATTGCAAGTAAATCATTTCACGATAGGTATTATTTTCCATTCACACTTCGTTAGGGGATCATCAATCTACTCACACAAGCTAGTATTGAAAGATAGTAGAAAAATCAGACGCAATTTGCCAGTTATTCGATATATGTGGCTATCCTGTTTCTGTCTTTCAAGGAGCCACAATCGCACCCAACAAATTGATCGACTAAGGAATAAAGGGGGTAAGCATTTAAACTCGTTGCGGTGGCCAATTTACGTTTTCAACACAGTTGATATCACTTAATTACCCTGTTAAATAGATCGACAGTCAGCACTACAAACGGCACACAAGGAAAATACCGATCACATTCCATTCACTCTCACATTTCACCCTCACCCGGAGTTTAATTTCCGACCAGTTTACAGTAAATTCACCTCCACTTCGGTGAATAATTGTTAATCATTATTATCTGCTATACCATGTGGCGCATTTTTGGTTATCTCGACTCTATGAGGCAGCTACCACATCATATCACAGCTCATTATTTGGACCTGTTTGATAGTAACAATGACAAGAATATCTACACAATTTATTACACAAACAGCAATCCTAGATTAATATTCTCATTTGAATTTAAGGCTCAAAAAAAAAAGTAAATCTTAAATGTTGGAAGAAACTTTAATGAAATTTCAATTGTTAAAACATAAATGTTACTTATAGTTTATTAGGCTAAAGCCAAAAGTTAACCAAAAAAAATCAAATAAAGCAAAAGAAAAGAGTATGTTTAAACAAAAAATCAAGTATAGAAAATAAACAAACAAACAAAGCAAAACAACAACAAGAAACAAACAATCATGCAAATGATGCTTACTCGGAATGCCGCCTTCACTAAAAATAAACAATCAGTAGAATTAAAGTGTTACGTATTTATGGCAATAAACTAATTCTATGAAATTATTACAGCAAGTGCCCAAACAACAATAATTGCGACATAGACCGAGAGCGTTGCAGACTTCACATGGGATGAACTTGTGGAGGGCGACACACAGGCATCATACTTCTCAAAATCAACTTCCGTAATACCACAAATTTGTGCTGTTTTGCATTCCTCGTCGCACTGCTCGCCACCAGCGCTCACTGAGTTGTATAAGTAATACTTTTCGAAGTTTGAACTGCCCGGAGTTTTGAACGTTTTAACCAGTGAATGAAGGGACTCTGGGCTCACATCTGGTATGCAGTAGGCGTCAGTAGCTTTGTATTCTAGTACCCACTCCGGTTTGGACATCATATTGGCCAGTGTTAGGTTAGCAAAGTACTGCCAAACATCCTAATCGAGATAAAAACGAAACGAACAACGTTGAGGTAAGCTTTTCAGTAATTGGGTAAGTTTCTAAAGAAACTGTGGTGCTGCGTCGGTGGGAGAGTATAACAGGTAATTTAGTGTTAACAACTGAGTTGAAAAAGCAAATTGAATTTAAAGCTGACGTTTCGAGCGTTAGCCCTTCGTTAGAGTGATTGGAGGGATTGTGGGTTGTGTGCGGGTTTATGTAGTAATTTAGTGTTCACAACTCAGTTGTTAACACTAAATTACCCATTTCAGTAACATTTCAAGTGAACTCCTGCTGAAAACATATTTAAACGAAAGCCTTGACTGCTCATACTCAGTGCAGTCTCCACTAAATGGTGAAAGGGGTACTGAATATATCGCGACAACAAATCAGAAAAAAGAGTTACGAAATAAAGGCAGGGATTGGATTGGACAAAGCGACACTGGCAGAAGACTTAGGTTATTTTCCGCTTGGGTGTGATCTTTTCTGGTAAAAAATCGCCCTAAGCTTACTTTTGAGGGGATGGGGGGGGGGGATTATTCGTAATGAAGAAAGTGTAGGCAAGCTTTGGATGGATACTTGGTACTTGGAGAAACCACATTACAGTATGGTGCATCCTTTCAGACACTGATGAAAAAAATATCATCAAACTGAAGGTCAAAAAGTGCGACCATGAGAACTTAAAAAAGAAAATTGAAAGAAGTAACCATGGACAAAAAAGAATGAGGGTGAATAACTCGGGGAAGATTCACTGGAGGGTTTAAGAAGAGATTACAAACAAATTCAGGCTAAAGTTTTCAGGATGGAAAGCTGTTTCAAGATGGAAAGCTGTAACGCAACCCTTGTGCCATAATTTTGCTGCTGTCTTAGGCCCCTTGTGGATCAAGAGCGTCCATTTTGCTGCGCCAAGGCATCCCTTTGGTGTGGTCTATTCGACACCTAAGCCACTACTACATAAAAGTCCATGCCGGCTCACTACTACGTAAAAGTTAATGCCGGCTTACAAGCTTTTGGCATTGGTGATCGCTGTTTTCATTGGGGGCGCCTTGCTCATTACCTTAACGTGCATGGTGCTCTTATCATATTTATAGAGCCGAATGCCAGGATTATTGTAGCCAACAGTGGGTAGTACTGTCTTCCAGGGTGTTACCGCAGGGCACAAAAAAATGGAACTTGTAGGAATTCCTAAGGAGGAAGCGTAGATTTCGCATTAAAGCGAAGTTAAAAAAAAAAGCAAAACAACATCAATAACAAATAGAAAAAATGAATGCTAGGGTCTGGAGGAAATTTGTCATCTGCACTCCATTAACATTATACATTAAATTATTTTTATATTGTACGGCCAATTGCAAATAGGAAACATACACATATAAAAACACAATAAAGTGGTCGGATAAACATTCATTTATTGGTGGTTCATGAAAGCAGGGTAAAAATGCATAACATTTCATGCTCGAACATAGGAGTAATTCAGAAAACATTCTGAGAATAGATATCTTCCATTTAACATTGTGTAGCAGCAAGTACATTTTTAAGCCAGTCTCATATATTCGAAATTTATGCGTCCGAGACTTTCTTTTCATGGACAACATTTTGCTTCCAAACAATCAGGGTAAGGCCACCAGCTGAGAACCTCAGAATTTTTGAAACATGAGAAGCCTTTTGTGCCTTACTTATTTGAAAAAAATCTGAAATTTTGGGTTGCACTATTGTCCCCGTCAAACATCGACTGGCGTACATTAAATCATGCAAAATGTATCTACTAAGTTTACCGTCTAACCTGTATCACACTTCACAGCTGAGGTTTATAAGATATAACAAGTTATGTGTAAGTTCATGTTAAAGCCAATATAGTCTATAGACGCACCGATAGATTTTCAAATTCTAATTATTTAAGCAGTGGTTTCTGAAATACATGAATATATTACTTAAATAACATAAATTTACAATGATAACAGACAGGGTAAATGAAAATCAAACGAAGAAAGGACAGCGAGAACATAATTGACGGTTAGGATAAATTTACTTGCGCGGAGCGACATAGAGACACTCAAGGAAAAATTAATGCCTTCTTTTTAAAAATTTAAATGCTCTCATACTGAATTATTTCCCTGGCTGGACATATCTTGGCCTTCACTTGGCGAGATCGCTCTCTGAGGACTAATAGAACCAAAGATATCGTCGAACATTCTCTTGTACTCAGCTCGGAAGTTGCTGTTCATGACGCCATAAATGATGGGGTTGATGGCGCTGCTGAGAAACCACAAGCAAGTGGCAAAGATGAAAACCTAGATAGAAGAGAAATATTTAATACAGTAGATATCACTTTTTTTTTAAAGGAATTTCATTAGGAATATATTGTGAAAATCCTTAGGTCCATCTTGATAGAAACAAAGAAATTTGCTCAAAATGAAGGGAGATTTGACAAAAGAAATAGTTAGCCGGTGAATAAATCAAACAGTGACGGGGATCACTAAGGATGGAGAATAGAGGGAGGCATGGCAACGATAAAATCGAAAAAATTTGGCTTAATCTTCCATTGATGCATTAGCCATATGCATGACGCACGATATTCGAAGATGAGATTTACATCCATTTCCATGTAAAAATAATGCTTGTGACCTTCGTTATTTAACATGGACAATAGGCTGGATTGGTGTATTTCTGGTCCTACTCATGTTATTACGTAAAACTGTTTGTTTTCTTTTTACCCGTAGCTTTTTCTTTCTTGTTTTAATACTGACACCTTTCTGTGTATGGTCACATAAAACGGTATTCCAGGATTTAAATTCCCCCAATTTTCATTAAATCTTACCAATTTTTACGGGTAGGATGGTCGAAGAGAAAAATGGTCTTCATTTAGAAAGTGAGGAAGAGGAAGGAAGAGCCGGAAAGACAATGAACAATAGTTGATTATCAGATCATTATGACTAATTACGTGTAGTCCTCTTATGGTAGTTGACTAAAATTGCCGCAAAGATTTCTTAACAATGGAGAAAATTACTTGGCAGATGATTTTTTGGGGAAAGAAAATGTCCTAACGTGAATGAATTTGTTGGTTTTTTCAACTCGTATTAAATATGTCTTTGAAAAAAAGACCATATTCGTTTTACTCGAATATTGTGAGAAAAAGGTTTTTTATTCGAAAGAGTCTGATATAAGAACACAGCGTGATTTTCATAGAGATTCATTTTGAAAACGCCAGTTCGAAAAATGGACGTTTTTGGATGTAAAAGAAAATTGCAATCATGAAATGATCATATAAACGGTGTTTTTCAATTCAAGCATGCGTAATTGTGGATTGAAGACCGAAAAAAATTTAAAGAATTACCAAGATTTAGAAATGTGACTTTGCGCTCACGTTGCCCCGTTTAAGGTTTGAATGAAATCTCATGATCATAGGTTTAAATCCTGTGTATGATTCGTAACCAGACTGCAATAAAAATATATTTTCTTTATCTTGTTATCTCTTTTTGTCACTGACCAATAGAGCATACTTTTTCAAATTGATCAAAGAGACTTTAAACACGTCACTTTCATCTAAATTTTTTTTCAAATAAGTACCATAAAAAATCTCACCTGACGAGGTAAAAGAAGTGGGTTTATCTTGTCCATGGTGTCCATCACTTCTGACGGTATCCAACAAATGGTGAAAGCAAACACGATAGATCCCACTGCCTTCGCCACGGACACTTCCTCAGAATGGTTCCTAGCCTGGGTATTCTGGCTTGCTTGATTCAGGCTCGGAGCTACGGCCACGCTGTGCTGCTCCACGGCGCGAAACACTTTCCAGTAACACACCACAATAACGACATAGGAGATCACGAAGGAACCATAAAGCCAAGCGTTGAACAAGTAAACAGCAGCTGGACTCATCATCCTCCTCCAGCACAGCAAGTAACCTGGGCAGAAGAAGACGTCATCCAGCGAAAGAACATTGGGGAACCCGTTGATGACCAGCACCACTATCCAAATGGCGGTAATAAGAAGCAATGTACGTTTCTTCGTAAATATTTTTTTGTAAAGGTTCCGTTTCTTAACACATAGGTACCGATTGAAAGCCGTCAAAGCCATGAGGTAGATAGATATTTGGGCAAAAATCGCCATTGCAAAAGCCTGGAATCTGCACACCCCATCGCCGAAGCGCCTCCTGCTGTTGATGACGGTATCAACTGTCAGTGGTATCACAGAAAAAGCGGTTAACAGGTCTGTGCAAGCCAGGGCGACAATTAGCATCGTGGTAGGGGTACGAAGCCTTGGGTTGCGATAGGTGATGAAGCAAAGGATGGCATTACCAAGCAAGGCAGTGATATTAATGGTTATCAAAACGGTTGATTCTATTACGAGAGTTGGTTTGCTTCTGGCTTCAAGCTGGTCTTGTAAAATAGCCAGTACATCCACGCTGGCATCACCAGGGTCAATGTTGTTCATGACAGCTGATGCTTCAACGAATGAGAGTTTCTTGAACACGTTCGGTGCACCGAGATGGAAATTTAGTTTGTGGCCTCGGCTTTTATATCCGTCCAATCAATGTTAAATTAAGAAGTGCATTTTTAATTTGTAGAGATAAAAGACTGATTGACCGTTACCTTAACTTCCTTGACGCTGGCGTAACAGAAGGAAGATAAACTAGCACTTTCGAAACAAAGTCGTGTAATCATTATCGAACCCCCCAGCCTTATCGAATCAGCTGTTAATCATCTGATTGTCGTACGACGTATCTGATTGGATGGCGCTCATCATTTGATGGGTAAGGTGAACGACGAGGCGTCGTGTTTTGTACTTTAAGAATGACAGCAGGCGTTTCAGATGGAAAAAGGTTGTATCTGTAGCCGAAATACCACGTCATTGCTATTCCAAGTTGTTGCAATACATATTTAAGCTTTCTCTTCGGTTAGCCGGGAATACAAAATACTTTATCTCAGGGTTTCACGCACAAGACATGTAGAAAGTAGTAAACACACGTCATGCAATCGAAATTTAAAAGCCTGACGCCTAAAGAGTGAGCTATAGTAGAATATTGATCAATGAACAATGTTTGCAAGTTTCAGGTCTGTTCGGGGCATCTTATGATTTCGAAAAAACTTTACTCCCCGAGAAATTAACAACGTGTCTCCTGCTGAGATCTTTGACTAATTGGCATGCAATCTAGTCTCCTTAAGAGCGGCTTTACAAAATTAGCAAAGTTGAATAAGGTTCAGGATAAAAAAATGATGAAATTTTCACAAAACAGACTTACAATGGGACTTATCTATCGAGTACGGGATAACATTTGTAGAACCAGTACTCAAGAAGAACACGGAAAATGAATTACAATCTGGCGAGTTCTTTGACGTAAAATGTAACTTTTCAAAATTCGCAAATGTGAAAAGAAGTTCCAGATAAATGTTTCATGCCAAAAACAGTTAATAACTACACACGCGGCAGCTGGTGAATTACTCTTCGCCATACATTTCCGGTAATTAGAGGGTCATCACCATGCCGGAAATAAACTTAAGGTCACGTTTCAAACAAGACAAAATTATGTCCCATTATTATTCTTTGGTTTCAAGGGCATATGTCGCCTCGACTCCGCTGGTGATAGGCATCTTTCCCTGTATTGGTGAAACGCACGAAAGGCACTTAAATATTCTCAAATGGACAAAGACCGATTTTCAACGAGATTTTCACCGTATTGACGCGATGGATCGCTTAGCTGAACAAAATGACCGTTTTTTGCCCGAAGTGTTTTTTTTAAAATTTTTTTATTAAGACTGTCTTCCTTCGTTTACGGTGAGAGCAAATAGCATTTATGACCTTTTTGCCCCGAGAGAGATCTTCCTCGACAGGTTTCCATCAACTTCTGCCTATTTCACATCTGCTTTTATAAAATCTTTCGCTACTTCTCAGGTTAGGATTCGAGCCCGAAAAAAAAAACACACACACACACAAAAACGATCCTCCATAAATAACTGTCCACAAAAAAGGTTAAGCTGGTTATGGCAAGTTATTAAGAAAAGATGTATAAAGTTACAAACTTCTTGAGGCTTGCATTAAATCATCTTTTTTTTTCACTCTTTTTATAAATTGATCTTAACCGATTGTTTCCTCGGCTTATAAGAGACATTTAGGAAAAATTCTTACGTGGAAGGTTAAACATCTGTTACGCCACCACAAAGAAACCGTATGAATATCACTCAAATTCCAATTCTTTTGATGACAGTTAAAGGCTCTAACTTTCCTGGCCCGTTTCCTTCGAAAAAAAAATCGTTGGGCAAAACCATTGCCCACAATAACTCGTTCTTAAAAGACAAGCTTATGCCGTGAATTTTTTTTTTAATGCGATAAGGAATACGGTCAACTCTCGATTAGCTCGTAAGCGGACACCCTCGGGGATTGGAAAAAGTGTTCGTCGTCCGCTTACGAGAATTATTCCTACTAGCGGACACCAAAGAAAAATAGGCTGGATGTCCGCCTACGGAGGGAAAGTACACCACAATGGACGGCGGACAGATGGAAGTTTGTCAAAACCCATTCCCATTGTGCTGCTGCTTTGTCAAAAGGTTATATTTCTGTTGATTTGCAAATGAAAGACAAATTTCACTGCCATAAGTAAATTGTTTTGCATGGGGTTTCCGCTTAGGAGAGAGCGTAAACAAAAGAAAAATCCAATTATCACTTTCAGAAGTGTCCGCTTTCGATCTACACTGCAAGTTCTACAAATAATCGGACCGAATTTGGAAATCAGATTTACTCGCATTCTTGGCTATTTCGGTAAGATGCAAAATATAATTTTTAAACAGGAAAATATACCTATACTCCTTGGAATCTGATTTCTTTGGTTCAATTCAATTCAGCTGGCAGTACAGAACAGTCTATGTAAATTTGTAATCGCTAATAAAGTCTCTAATTGAGTTTTCTTTTTCTCCAGTATTTTATCTTTACAAAGTATTGCCGACACTCATTCATTGGCGTTTCATCCAGTTTACTAGTTTATAGGTGTTAGATTTACTGGGAAAATAATGAAGATGAGCGTTCATTTAGACTGGAAAAGTCCGCTGTCTACTTTAAAACAAACTCGAAAATGTGCACTAATTTTCTTGTCGGGGCGGATAAAGAATACATGTATTCTCAAATTTCCATTGTTGTTACAATGGTCGGCTCAGTGCATAACAATTTTCCTCATCTAGAAGCTATTTGTTGCATGGCCGTGTCGCTGTGGTACCAATTATCGATTTCTTCACTTTGCTGATAGCCTGACAATTAAAAACGGCAATGCCGCCAGTAGTTTAGATGAGCAGGAAACATTTTTGACGGCTAGATGTTTTGGAAGTTGCGTAAAAAAATTTCCTAAGGTCTTAAAGCAATGGTTCATCAGAAAGAGAGCGAAATATTCAGGAACTGAAGAAAAAATTTAGGTGAGTTATTGTTTCTTGGTTAAATCTTCATGATGCAGGAATCCTAACAAGGTTCCTTTTTTAGGGCACAGCACCAACTTAGGGCAATCTTATTTGATTTTATAGCGGGGTCTGGTGAGATAAATATAATTTGTCTTGATTCACTGAATAAAGTCACAATGGTTGGAAATTAACAACAAGCAAAACATTTGCTCCGCTTCATAGCTGAGTTGAATCAATAACACCCAACTAGTAACTGGAATAAAGGGGGTAAGTTTCTAAAGAAACTGTGGTGCTGCGTCAGTGGAAGAGTATAACAGGTAATTTAGTATTATCAGCTAAGTTAATAACGTGACTTGGCCACCGTAAAGAGTTTCAAAGCTGACGTTTCGAACGTTGGCCGTTCATCATTCGCTCTAACGAAGGGCTGACGTTCGAAACGTCAGCTTTGAAACTCTTTACGGTGGCCAATTTACGTTATCAACTCAGTTTATAATACTAAATTACCCTAGTATCTGGGATAAGCGAGTTTGAATCCCTTCCAAGTTCTCCTTGTCAGCAAGTTAAAAAACGTGCAGAAAACAGTTTGGAGAATATGCATACGTTAGGGTGTAAAGGATTAATTTATTTCCTTTGAAACCCTCACTTTCAGCCAGGTCATTGTCTGAAAAAATTCCTGATTTAACGATAAATTTAAGGATAAATAATCTGGCTCATTATTAGCTACTGAGTTTTACCTTTCCCGTCATAGAGAATTTTAAAGCTGTCGCAGTGCTGATGAGCAAGAAAATGGCCGGTGATGATGTCAGCATGTTTCATGATGGCAGCAATGTAATCTTTGTTGAATTTGGGATAAAACCACTTCTTTCCTGGAGCTCGCTCAAAAGCACCGGGCGGAACATGACCTATAATAAACACCTGGGAAAATATGATTTTCCCATTCAGATAAAACGTAGAAAGATGCATGCTATACGTTTGATCAAAACAAGGAAGAAGAGGGTTGCAACATGTTCGTGTTGGTTTTTTTTCTAACTCGCCGACCAACTGCGCAAATGACGGAACGACTGACTGACGGACCTACTGACTGATGGACCTACTGAGTAAGTGGCCGACTGACTGCCCAATTGACGGAACAACTGACTGACGGATCTACTGACTGATGGTCCTACTGACTGACGGACCTACTGAGTAAGTGGCCGACTGACTGCCCAATTGACGGACTGACTGACTGGATGGCTGGCCGGGACTTTCTGAAAAAATTACTAACTTAGACAAGAGTAGCTTTAACCATCTTGATAGAAAAAATCTCTGATGGATACACACCTTCTCGTTGATGCGACTTGCGTTAGTGAGCACAACGTCTAGCCACGCAAATTGGCGGGCAGGATCAGAGATATTCCCTGTTAGCTTGTCGTTTGTATAGTAATACACGGTATTCAGACTGACTAAACGCAAGCCAGGCTTAATGAGAACTGTGTAAAATCCGCCTGAAGAAAAAACAGAGAGGTTTTAGATGCTTTTTTTGGTCTTTAAATTACTTCACAGTGAGCTAATATACAAAAATCTGAATAGTATTCACAAAATTGTGGCTTCATTTTCGATTGAAACTTTCAATTTAAGGAGGAAGACATTCAAAGCTGGACAATCATTATCGTCATACTTTGTTTGCTTGTTGTTTTGTTTCGTTTTATGTTCGTTTCGTGGTAAAATATAAAGTTTCTTTGAAATCTTTGAAACAAGCATCGAAATGAAAATAGCAATAATTCTCTCCTTTCACGCAATTGGTGCAGATGGGCTCGTGGAGATGACAGTTTGAATGAGACATTAGAAAGCCCTCTCGCGTTACAGAGCATGATAGTCTCCTGTCTTCGCCCTACCAAGCCACTTATGGATATTCCGTGCGAACAGTCGACTAGAAAAAATTAATTCACTCACATGTATTTGGCATCACTTTCTTGGGAAAAAGAGCTTTTCGCATTCTATTACAAAGAGGCAATTTTATGGAAAGGATTGAAGGATTAGATCTAGAGCGTCTGTATCGCTATACTTGTGAGTGTCATTTACCCCTTTTAAAGGTATTCACCGCATCCTGAGGAAGCCATCGGCTCCATAAATTACCAACTGCCCAGTAAATGTAATTCGGTTCGGGTGGCATCAGGTGCTTCGGATGGTAGTCGTGGTTTCCAAGGGCCGGATAAACCGTCGTGTTTGGAAAGACAGCGCTGAGCAAGTCGGTTAAGTTCTTCACCGTTTCTATCACTTCGTTTGTACTCAGTTGGCTGTTTGGGACGTGTGGCATGTCATCGCTGAGGATTAATTACATAGGAGACTGGTTACTATTTATCGCCGGGGTTAAGAGAGTTCCCGGAGGATTCTGGTAATCTCGTAACCAGATCTTACGCTGAAACTGAAATGAGTTACAATCATGTGGCCTTGGAGGGTCTGGATTCAATACAAAGATTTTGGTTGTGTCACAGTGTAATTTACCTGACACTCCCCACAGACTTTAGTATTCCATTGACCCCCCTCAACGGCAACCAATTTTCTGTAGTCCTCCCCGTTACACTCTGTTAGCGGTGACTGATCCTGTCTCCTTTCCCCTGCAACTATGTAATAACCCCGCCCCCCCCCCTAAAAAAAGTCATCCGACTCCCCCTCCCTCGCGGCGAAAAATAATAACCGGTCCCTTAGAGAGAGATTTAGGTCATTGGAAACAGAAAGAATAATGTCAAAAATCAACTGATTTCTTTGCGTAATCTCGTACCCAGATCCAACCGTGTAACTGAAATGTGGAAGGCCGTGGAAGGTCTGGGTACGAGACAAGTCATTGCATATCATTTTGTGGAAAGGTAGGAAGGTTCTAACACGGCTGGAAAAGCTGCGGACCTATTTCCGATTATTTGCTGCCAGATTAATGGAGGAGAGGGTATGAGTACCAAATAATCAGTTTCAGGCAGTCAGTTTAAAGGGAGGACTCTCTCGCACTCTACGCGTCATTTTCTCGCAAAAAAAAAAAAAAAAAAAAACGCGGTCGATTTCCTGTCACCTGTTTGTTTCTTCGTCTTTCTGACTGAGATCTAGCGAGCAAGCAACCGAACACAAATACCACAATTCCCAGGAGAACTCGAACTTTTCACCTTTTGTCCTTGCTTTTTTAAAACACATCGCACATCTATAAAGGCATCCAATTTACAATTATCCCGACCTCATTACGGTTGCCAACCAGGAATGATTGCTTTTCGAAGTAAATAGAAAGTCTGGATCGATAGCTATTACGGCGAACGGTTAAAGTTTGGCCATTTTACGACTTACAGTAAATTTCCTTCCGTCATAGTTAACAGAAATATTTTACGGGTAAATATTTTTATTTTTGATTTTACCATTAACGGTTAAAATTCATCCAACTGCAAAATGTTTTTGCCGTCCCAGGGCTGATGGTTAACCCCACTGAGATCTTTTAAATAGCTTACCCTGTCCAAATGATGAAATCCGGATTTGGCTCGATGCTTTTCATTGCAAATACTGATGAGTTTATAAGTCTCCACGGGGAATCACAAAGATAGTCACCCCATTTGCCAGCATGGGTAGGCGTCTCACTGTTTGGGGTCTGGGAATTACATATCTTCCCAGGCTCTGTGGGGGACTGGTACGTTTTGTCAAAATGAAAGTCTGTAACCTGCCAGAAGCTTCCTGTAAAGGAGACGTAGATAACACAAATATTTATGGAGCGTCATTCCTTCCAATATTGATTCACCGATCTATGCTGCGTGACTCCAAGGTTGGTGTTGCGTGACACTTTCGCATTGATTGCAAGGGTCTTTCGCTTGTCACTCTCACTCTAATTAAACCCGTTGAGAATCGAAGAAGGATATTTTTATGATATCAGTTATAGAAAGCTTCCGGCGATAGCTCTTTTCATCTTTCGTTTTCGTTTGCTAAAACTACCGAACTTTGAAATCGATCTAGTACTTAATTTCAGTTAACTCATTAAATCGGCATATTCAATATTGCATTGCATGATGTCAAAGGAAATGTTCATTGCTTCATATATATTTATAGATACATGTATTCTTATTTATTTAGTAAGATTAAATTACGACAACCATACCAAGCAACTTTGTCTCTGTATATTTCACCCTTAAAAGTTATCCATCGGTAAAATGTTTACATATGCATGGCTTTCCCCAAAGAAGTAAGCTCGCATGGAACCACTCGCGGTCGAAGATTGCTTGCTAAATGTTTGTTCACCTTTAATATTAGGACAGCAAGAACCAAATTTCAATGAGACCGAACGATTTGCTTCATACCATTGAGTGCTATGCTAATTTTTATGCAGTGTAAACAATGTAACGAGTGTCCTTTATACAGTTTATATTAGATAAAATACTGGTTAAAAATACGGTGGTTACCTTCCTCCAGTATCACAGGCTTGAACAGGAGAAAAAACACTACCAAATGTAGCACTTTTTCCATAGTCTCCACCAATGAAAAGAGTGGTAACTTTCGAACGTAGATTTTTCTTACTTCCGCTTATATGGCCTTGTTGTGCTAGTGTTAACAAGCGAGACACTGATGTGATGATTATGAAATCACACCCGGTGCTTATGAGGTGTTCGACTCGATGTTTTGGATTCACGAGCCGTATCGTCGATGATTGAAATCAATCCGCGTACAATGATTCCTCCACCGCTATTTGTGTTTCAGGTTCGTTTCTTCCAAGATCGACTAGTCGTTTAATCTAAACCGTTAACGACTGGGTTTGAGTCTATGAAGCAGATCGTTGGCTTAGCATGGTTGGTGTAGCCGCTGTCGGGTCTCGTCACACAACGCGTTAGGGGAGGGTATATTTGTGACGTGACTAAACGTCGGCCATAAGAAAGACTTGCTTACTTGCGGCTTGGGTTGGCAAACTAGAGAAGATTTTTTAAGCCGTTTATTAGAGTTTAGAAGGGTGAATGAATCAGCTACCAAAGTTGTGCTTAAACGCGCATTCCTGATTCATATATGTAGGGGGCGTGTTATTTATGTTCTCCTGTTTCTCTTTTTAAAGACATGACATCAAGATTTCAGCCGAAAAGCACAGTAATCATACTACTTTCTCGTGACCGGAATTGACCGTTCTTCCTTAAGCTTTAAAACTGTTTTTACTTGTTTATGCGCCGCGGTCCATATCATTTTTTTCTAAAGCGGTGAGGGACATGGCTCTTGTTTCGTTTTGCTTGCCAGTTTTTTTTTTTTTTAACTTAGCTAATTTTCATTCTTCTGGTTTAGTGGAGCATTTATTCGAGGGCGATGTTGATCGATAGTTTTCCTTCAGTTTGCGATGTTTATCAGAGGGCGGCAATTAATTGAGTGGATACGGAAAGAGCTGGCTTTTGAACCTGTTCAACGTACTTCGTCGAAACGTCTCCTCAAATTACAGGGCGTCCTGAAAAGATGCGATTATAATCTCATTTCACAAGATGATTGTGTGACTGCAAGTTTGTGTGTTCATGCTTCAGATCAGGGCCCAGTTGTTCTAAGGCTCATTAGCGCTAACCCAAGATTAAATTATAATCCAGGTTTCTTTATTCCTATGTTCAAAAGTCTCTTTGGAATTTTTTCCTCTGTTTTTTATGGAGCATCCAATCATCGACTTATTGACAAAAAGAATTATGCTGAATTTTCTTTTAAAACTTTCAGATGTGAAATCAGATTTGACATTAACCCTGGGTTATCTTAACCCAGCTGAAAACAACCGGGGCTACAGGGTGTAGAACCACAGAACCACAAGGTGTTAGTACCCTAAAATGAAGGTCTCCAGATTATCCAGGTAGTTACTGCTTCATACTGTCAAATTGTTTACCCACATTTCCCACTAATTCACTTATTTCACAAACCTTATATCAGATTCTCTCAAAAGCCTTAGCCACCATTCGAGCTTCACCAAAACTTTCCACATATCAAAATGTAGTCACATTTATATTTTTTCCTGATTATATTCATCATAAGTTCTTAACTTTAAGAAACGAGCGTGGCTCTTTCAAGTATTTCACACAGTTCAGTTTTGAAATATGGCAACCTTCCCTCCATGTGACTTTCAGTTAGAAGTCGATCATCAGGGTTAAATCATTTGTTTGATCATTAGCATTAACATTTTAAGAGCTGTAATTCAGCAAACCGGCATAAAAAAGGTAAAACTGATTTTGTTGAAAAATTTAAATTAATTTTACAGCAAACTCCTCCGTGAACGGGATTAAAACAAGCCTACCTATTGAAACTACTCTGTCAGGTTGTTCTCGGAAAACTGTTTACTCCAAGTAACTGATAAATAAAAACCCTAAGTTTTTGATTCATTGTTTATTTCTCCAGTCAAAATCGGCGCACATTTGGTGAAGACATCTTGCATTCCCTTAAATTGTTCCTTTGAAGCCAATTTCAATTCTGATTTCTAAATACATGTACAGCTCTAGTGTGAAGTGTCTGCTTCATGCCAACAAATTCAGTTACTTCAAATTTTTAAAACTGACACTCTTCATCTTCAAGAAACCTGTAAGGATCTTCGATTGCTATTGAAGTGGTTGAATTACGACTATTACAACGAGGGGAATCACTTCTACCAGCATCAGACGATACCTGTTCCGACTTAGTAGGACAACCTTTGGCCGTATATCTCTTTGCTTGTGGAGGAAGATATGCTGAGTTATTTCCAACAGCCTGAGCAGAACACGCGGACGCAGATGCCACTGCTTTAGGAGGGAGATATGTTGGGTTGTTCCCTAACTGCGTCAATCACACTGAGCTCCTGTATTTTGGCGCCCAGTGTTTTCCGTTATATTCTGACCTCTAGGTACGCGCTGGGAAGTATCGGCTTCACTTGCATTTGATGAGTGCTCATGGTCTCTGGAGTCTGGTGGCTGATCGCTAACTGCTTGATGAATGGGAGGGTATGGTGGATTGTTTGCACCTGCGCCTGGAGAGTTTCTCAAATGACCCGCGTGTAGTTCACTTCGATCGTCAACTGCGTGATGAATGGAAGGGTATGTTGGATTCTTTTCTCCTCCATCTGAGGACTGTTCCGTCCGCGGGGGTCGTTGATCTACGTCTTCTGTTGTGGGTTGATCTCTGACTGCTCGGTGAATTGGAGGATATTGTGGATTGTTTCCCCCTGCCCTTAATGAGTGTTCTTGCTGATCGTGTGTTGTGTGTTGATCACTGATTGCTTGGTGAATGAAAGGGTAAGACGGATTCCTCTCTGCTCCATCTGAGAGGGGTTCTTCCTTGAAGAGTCGTTGTCCTATGTCCTCTGGAGTAAATTGATCTCTGACCGCTTGATGAACTGGAGGATACTGTGGATTGTTCGTACCTGTACTTGAAGACTCTTGCTGACTAGTGTCTGGTAGGCGTTGATCACCAACTGCCTGGTGAAGAGAAGGATAGGATGGATTCTTTTCTTCTCTACCTGAGGGGGGTTCCTCCTCGAAGAGTAATTGTCCTATGTTCTCTGGAGTGGGTTGATCTCTGACTGCTTGATGAACTGGAGGATACTGTAAATTGTTCTTAGTACGACCAGTGTCGGGTGTGCGTTGATCACAAACTGCTTGGTGAATGGAAGGATAGGATGGATTATTTTCTCCTCCACCAGAGGGGGGGTCCTCCTTAAAGAGTCGTTGTCCTATTTCCTCTGGTGTATGTTGATCTCTGACTGCCTGATGAATTGGAGGATACTTTGGATTGTTCGTACTTGTGGCTGACGAGTCCTCTTGCTGACCAGTGTCTGGTGTTTGTTGATCACTAACTGCTTGGTGAATGGAAGGATAGGATGGATTATTTTCTCCTCCACCAGAGGGGGGATCCCTCTTGAAGAGTCGTTGTCCTATGTCCTCTGGTGTATGTTGATCTCTGACTGCCTGATGAATTGGAGGATACTTTGGATTGTTCGTACCTGTGGCTGACGAGTCTTCTTGTTGACCAGTGTCCGGTGTTCGTTGATCACTAACTGCTTGGTGAATAGAAGGATAGGATGGATTCTTTTCTTCTCCACCTGAGGGGGGATACTCCCTGAAGATTACGTGTCCTGTGTCTTCTGGTGCAGGTTGATCTCTGACCGCCTGATGAATTGGAGGATACTGTGGATTGTTCGTACCTATATTTGAGGAGTCTTCTTGCTGATCGGTTTTTGGTGTGCATTGGTCACTAACTGCCTGGTGAATAGAAGGATAGGATGGATTCTTTTCTTCTCCACTCGAGGAGGAATTCTCCTTCAAGAGTCGTTGTCCCGTGTCCTTTGGTGTAGTTTGATCTCTAACCGCTCGGTGAATTGGAGGATAAGGTGGATTCTTCACACTTGCACCTGATGAGAGCTCCTTAGCACCAGTATCCGATGTGTTTTGATGGCTAACTGCCTGATGAATAGAAGGGTATGGTGGGTTCTTTTCTCCTCTATCTGGGGATGGTCCCTCTTTAAGGGATTGCTGCCCTTTGTCCTCTGGAGGATTGCCTCCTTCCGCACCTAAGACGTGTTCTTGTTGAAGTCGTGTATCATTGTAATTTAGCGCGGTTGGGTCTTTCACTTCCTGGTAAATAGGTGGATCCGAATTTTCTTCAGGTTGACAATACGAAGGACTTCCATCACCGACTGACTGATCTATTTTTGAGGATGGTGTTTTGCTTCTACCATGTACAAACGTGTACGGCATTATTCCATCTACCCTTATCTTTTCAGTAGCACAGTCCTGGCCATTTACTGTAGAAACCACTAGCAGCTGCATTAAGTTATCACCCAATGTACCGGCTTCCTTCCGTAGCTGATGAAGGTATTGTTGGGTAAATGCCAAGTGATATTCGATTTCCTCAACGATTGACGGCTGTAAGAACACTGTGTTACCACTTGGCTTAGCAAACTTCAGCGTCAATGTCCCTGGTGTGGTGTGCCCAACCTAGGATTAAAAAAAAAAGCCAAAAAAAAAATTAAACAAGTTAAGCTCGCCACTTGATGAACATAAAGTGACCTGAATTCCCGTCCAGCACTGTACATGGTGCACAAGACAATTTATGTTACTGATCTGTCAATCAAACTATATAATGGAATTTTGATTAGTTTAGCACCCCTCTTCCCCACCAAAAAAAAAATTTCTGTCGTAAGTAATACAATAGCGATCAGGGTGGACTGGCTGTAAATTTCTGTTGATTTCTGGCTCATTTACATTACAAAAAGTTCCTTTTTAATTGAGAAACTATTAATTCAGCCTGCTCATTTTCTGTAAGTTAATTTTAGCATACCCACTTCAATTTAAATCAACAATGCCATATCTTCTGGTTGCATCAATATTCTGATAATTCACCTGAAAAAACATTTCTCCAACCTCCAGATGGTTTATTGGCCCAGATAGATGGAGGATAACTCTGCCATCCTTGACTAGAGGAAAACCCTAAAAAAGAGAGAGTATTAATTAAACTGAACTTGTATGACACCTGCCATAGAGTTATTCTGATATTTCTCTAGCCACACCCCTCCCCATGTTATTTTGCCTGGTATGTTGTATGTAAAGAAAGAATCTTTTAGATTATATGATGATATGCGATGGTCTTCAAATAAATTGTTAAAGCAGGCAAAAAGGGTAGAGAGGTCTTTTCCCGCCTAGTGCATTTGCCAATGACCACCTTTTCGTATGAAACTGCACATCTCAGTTGAGGGAAAGTGAACCCACAGAAACTTGATTCTACAACTCAAACTGATGAGTTCCCTTACCTAACCAGTCCACAAAAGGCAAAATTAATACTAAATAAATCAAGTTGTTTAAGTCTAAGGAAGTGACTTCTTTATACCATTCACCCCAACATATGATATAAAGTGTCACTTCTTCTTGCAGTGAAAATATGTTATCTTACAAATAGTTGATGAGAACATACAAGCTTATCAGTTAGAGGGTATTTTTTGATAAAGAAGCAGATTCTCCTGTCTTATTTGAAAGGCTAATTTATGACTCTCTTGAGAGAATCACTCATCAGATTTTAGAAGCAACAGGGTAAAGCATTTGTGGCAGCTATCATGATTCACAAAATCAGTTCAATGCATACAATCTGGAAGATTATATAATATTCACCTCAGCTTTGAGTTTCTCCAGAAGTAATGTAGTTGGTCTAAGAAATTTTTCTGTAAAGCTCCTATGTGACCCATTAAACTTCTGATTTAATATCTCCCTCAAGCTTTGTTGAACCCTATTGCTACAAGGGTAACTGTTTCCATAGTGAACTGCAAGGGCACGTTGTGCAGTTATAAGAATGTCCTGGAAATTAAGAATAATCATGCTTACTGGTAATTAAACACTTAAAATCTTATTCCCCCATTCAACAAGCAACACAGATCAGCTGTAAAATGAGGTATAATGTACCAAATCCTTACAATGAATTTTCACATGAATATACATCTCCAAAAGTAAAGGGAAGTCATATCAGACAAAAAAAATTGCTGAAATAAATTAATAATCATTAAGAAATGAGAAAAAAACTGAATCAAATGAACAAAACTAAAGAATAATGAAAAGGAGAGAAAAGGAATAAAAAATAGATCTATTCGTTGACTGATGGCTGAATGCACCAGATGAGTAAATGACTGAGTGGTTGATTAGTTTATTTATTGATTAAAAGAAACAGATTGGCAACCAGGATAATTAAAGTTCATAAGGCAACCAGGTGTACAATCAGACATGGTTTGATGCTACTCTGGTTTAGAGATTTAATGAATGTAACTGGGAAGTTACAATTCACAGACCCAATGTTTTGACACTCCTGTCTAGTGCCTACATTAAGGGTGATCTAAATGCTGCAAAAAGAGGTCCTTTTATACTCTCACTGATTAGCTGCACTTTTTTCTGACGAGGCGTAAATAGAGGTAAATAGATTGGCAACCATTACCATTACATTTTTGGCTTGAATGAACCCAGTCTCTTTAGATGGCCCTAAATCTGCTGATCAATAGATTTCTCTATTACAATGCAATATTGAGACAAATCTTAACACTCATGGCTCAATCGTTTTGATTCAATTAGAAAGCTAGACTACTACTTGTTTTCTCCAGCACATTCATCATGCTATTTTTCTTGGTTATTCATCTATCAAATGTATCCATTTTGACCTTGAATGACTTATTGTGGTTTCGAACCATCAGTCCATATTGATTTCTTTCACTTTCGAAAATTTCTGTACAGTTTCTCTTAAATCTCCATATCAAATTCACTCATATCCAGTACTGATTATAACCAATGATGACCACAAATCATACACTTAACCTTATAACTCCCACAACTGATTAATATGTAAGGTATCCTCCTAATGTCCCTACATTATCCAGCTAACGGGTAATCAAGTACTAAAAGTGATCAGATATAAGTCGTTATTTCGATCCAACGCTAAAATTTTGTTACTTATTGACAAGGAAATGTGTAGCAGCTGGAGGGTAAATTGGAAATTTAATAAACAGATCTTGGAAGTGAAAGGGTTGACAGACCTACACCAGAAGATTTCGAAATCAACAGCAAACAAAATTAATATTTGTATACAAATTTCATACTTCCGGTTTACCTAAGTCCATCAAATAATTCTGTTTTGCTTTCAAGAAAGTTGTCAAATCCCTTTTTTAGATTAAGTGAGGTAGCATATAAAGGGATTCAAACTTATGCTTTTCCTTAGACGATCACAGGTTACTTATATGAAATCCATGAACTGTGAACATGCATAAATAAAATTTCACGGCAAACTGTTTCGAAGGCCCCTATATCAACATCTACAAACACTGGCTGTCTGAATGAGCGTAAGGATTTACTCGATCATACCTGTGTATGACCGAGGAGAGCCTGTCTTTTTGTACCACCATATAATTACGATGAAAGAAACGGAAACGCTTACGATCGCAAGATTATTCACTTTGAAGAAACTGCTGCATATCAAGTAAAATTGAATGTGTACTGTTTGCTGAGGCAGTTCAGAAGTCTTTTTTGCTCGACATTGATTTCAACATTCATTTATAAATTAATAATAAAGTATTTTCCTCACCTCTACAGTATGCGAGGTGGAAGCCATTGTAAACGTTCCAGTTTTCAGTTTCCGCGAAAAACCGGATGACGTAATTCTAAACCTAAAATTAGGAATTGGATCGGACTGGCCCATATCTTTCCAGAATGGACTGGGTTAACGTCAGCGGAGAATGATATTCTACGTTTTCGTACCAATTTTTTTAACATCTCTCTTTTTCAGGTTTTATTCTCTCTTCTACCATATTTATAGTGAAACCCAAGAGCTACTTTTGGTCCAATTTCGCGGTTCTAACACATAACCCATTGTTTAGAAACTATAGGAGGGTTTACCATGCATAAGAATTGTGGTGCGAATTAATTATTTGTCTTCAGTTCATGTAAATGAGATAAGCATTGGTCAAACGAAACTCTGCCCTACAAACGAACACTCCTACACGGTGGAAGGATAAATTTACCAATAGTACAATTGAAATGGTACAACAACAAGCCGTGGAAAGAGCAAGTATCCGTTTCCTTCTTAATAGCACTTTTTAAAATATTAAAATATCGAACAGTCTGAGTTTTCTATACCAAAGAAAGCACCCTTTGCCCGTTTCTGCTTAACCCTTCGACCACGTCACCCATAATCCTTAACCCCTTCTTCACACTATTATCCAACTCTTTTTCTGTGACGGCTAATGAACAATCAGCAAACTTTTATTATTTTTGAATCGTTTGATCTAAGAGCTGTCCTGAGTGGACAATAGCTCTATTCCATTTGTATCAAGAGAGCTTCGAGTTCACTTTCCATTTCACTCATAGAAAGATACTTCGTGATCTGGCTTCTAGCTAAGAATTGCTATCAGTTTCTTCATCCCAGAGTGCGATGTACTGATTCGCCCGCAGTTGCTCTACTCCTGGGAGTCCTTCATACGGGTACTCTGCGTCAATACCGTATCCAGTTATGTACACCTTGGTTTCTTTCGGCTGAAATTAACAATTTGATAAATAGATAAATTAAAAAATTGATGAATAATTAGATAAAAGATGATAAATAATGGGTAATGTCGACTTTGGGAAGACTGATACCCTTAGGTGGCGTTCTACTAGTACCTAGAATCTTTTTTATCGGACTATAGTAATTTCGGGCGTTAAAAATTACAGCAATATTTTATTGGTAATACATTGAACGAAAGATATTTGGAAAAATTGCTTCATTAGCGCTTTGATAAAGTATTGTTTCTGATTTTGATATTTGTGGGAAATAATAAAAACAAGACAGAAACCCAAATAAAGTAGTTCGAAAGTTACATACCTGGATCTTCCTCACGTAATTAACCACTTCTGTAAACTAAGACAAATGAGAGATTTCTACTGAGTAATTCGGTGGTTCTGTTAGCATTAAATGTTGGTAATCAATAAACTCCAAACACCAAATCAATCTTGGCCTCGCTCTATCTCTTATACACCTGTTTTCTTTCTTGTTAAGTAATCACATTATATCCGATAAAAAAAATAGTACCAGCAGCTGGAACTAATTGAGAAACGAGGTGTAGGTTGACAAACTGATTTTTAGAGATTCATTTTAAATTTTGGCTGCATAAGCTCAGGTTTTTTCGATTGAAGACTTTCCAAATCATCGTTGCGAAATGAGTTTCATACCTTGTGGACTCTCACGCACTGCGCATTCATTACTAATTATGTGCCATTTCTTACTCTCCAATGCTAATGTAATATGTAGTCAGCTATAAACCCTCTGATTACTATACCTACCGATGCATGTTCTTTAGATGCATTAGACCTCGCACCAACTATCACAGTGGTGGCTTGGAAGAAAAAATCGAACACGTCCTCCTTGAAGCCAGAGTCTATGCAATAACCAAGAACTGGTTTCTCCTTGAAGAATAGCACAAATCCTATGAATAAAAATTAAATGTTAACGATTCTTTTCATACTTCAAATTTAAAAGCTCTATTGGAATTAGGCGTGATCATCATCTGAAATTTACTTGTTCAGCTTAGAACTTACTGTTTGAGATTTGGTCTTCTTCTGGGCCGGTTTAAACTGGCTTAGCAAAGCTTTGTTTAATGCTCGAAGCGTAATTGTTTGATTGAAAGCCCGAGGCTGACAATCACGTCCCCGGCCAGCTACGCATTGACTTACGGTCTTCGCGACATAAACAGTTACCCAGGTCATCGTTCAAAGCTGTTTGTAACCTACCATAACATATTCCGCTATGAAGAGTTTTGTGGATTTTCATGGAGAACTGTTTTTCGTCATCCAGGTAGGTTGGGTCTCCTTCTTGCTGACATACTATCCAATCTGCTATTTGTTCCTTCAAGGAAGAACGAAAAAAATACTTAAATGAAAAAACACTGCATCTTAGTGCATATAACAGGTGATTCATGACTTACCAGTGTATACAGGTGGAGCATTTCGTCCAGTCTGCATGTCTTTAATTTATGTTGCACCTCAGGGCCAGACAACACTCTTAGGTGAGGTTCACCAGCCAAATGTCTCCTCTCGCTCTCGAACAAAAATAGCAAAGGGAGCTCACCAGCATGATCCAAGTGGTTGTTTGTGATGAAAACATTCCTTGGGAACTCGTTGTGAGCTGGAAATGCAAAATAAGGTTGTCTAGAGAATAAATATCTGTGGGGCAACATTCAACTGATAAAGATAGACTATGACTGAGAATTTCACACAGATGGGTTTAAAACACAAGGACAAAACTGAACGATCACCGCAAATCGAGGAAGGAGTGGTAGGAATTTCACTAACCGTGTCTCTCCCTGCAAGCCTTGAGGACACCAGCTCCAACATCTGCCAAAAGCAAAGGTTTTCCTTCGTGAAACACAATTGCGGAGGAGCTTGGCTGGCCATGAAGGACGGCTGAAACCGGTTTCAAATGGCATTGTAAATAAATGATTGTTTATTTTTTCATTTTAGAGTAGACGTTACTTCTAAAAAGAGGGAGAAGGGAGGGGTTTTGGTTTGTGCAGAAATTTAATCTGCACACCATCTTTTAATCCTTAACCCTTTAACACCTAGGAGTGACCAAGACAGAATTTCTCCTTACAATATCAATACAATGTCAAGAAGGCAAGTGATAAGAATAAAGAGAAATATCAGTTGGGCAATTGTTAGTTGATCCAATACCCAATTCTCCAAATTAACATCATGAGAACTGTATGGCAGACAGTAAGGAGAATTACTTAACAGATTTGGAATGAAAGGGTTCATCCTTAGCCACGCAAGAAGTCGTGAAAGCTTTAATCGATACAGTCGCCATGGCAATTGGCATGCCATGAGACAAAAGAAGTAAGGCAACTATCTGTGGATCAAACATAAAAGACGGTAAACATGGAGAGTGAAAGAAGCACTTGAAGGAATCTCTGAATGACCAAAAGAGACTATTTCAGGTGTACAGTTATAGGGTATGGGAGAGTAAAAATCTCACGGAGAATATGCAGGAAGAATTCTGCTTAGGCTAAGCTGTAACAAGTTGACCGATCTATTTTACACTGTAAAAAAGAAAAAAAAAAGTGTGCAGTTTCTACAGTACCTGTTGTTCCTGTCCCAGTCCCCACGCAGTAAAGCTGCACTGTGATTTTGCGTGAAGTTATTTGTCCTCTTAGTATGTTGAGTAGAAAATTCATCTCGGGTCGTGATTTTTCGGGCTTCAGACACCCATCTATAATTTCTTTTAGCTTTAAAACCAGTTCCTCCCCAAATTCCTCAATAGGAATATTCTGGAAAAAATGCGAGCGCTCTTAGATATAAAACATTACCAACGAATTACCGATAATACATGGAGTGACTCTGTCGTAACCATAAGTAATTCGTTCACAACTCGTATGTTTAAAAGCTAATGTTTGGACCCCTCCAGTGATTTATAGAAAAACTTTTCTGGTCGAAAGATTCACAGGTAGCAGGTTGTCCTCACTCGTTATAATACTAATTACTACATAGATATAGTGTTTTTCGCGCACGCCGATTGGTTAGCTCGGAAGTGATTAGCCAGTACTATTCACCTTCGTACAGATGAAAAGACAAACCGCGTGTCAGTAGTTTAATTCCCAACCAAGTAGGGAATATTGACAGAAACAAACTAATTGTCAGGTTTTTTTCTTTTTATTTACACTTAGATATTAATTCACTTTCATTGTAACTGAAAGTGGTGGATATCTATCTCCAATTTGGTAAATAATTGTCAATAGTCAATACTTATTTCACCATTATCCTTGAAAATTTTCTAAAATTTTTGTTCGTTTCTACCCACCGGAATGGTCGGATTCTCTCCCGCCATTTTCTTGCTGAAAACCGTTTCATGCTGCAGAATGTTATCATACACCTCCCTGCCACTCAGGACTTCAATCAGACACAAACCTGGCGTAATCAAATTAAAAAAACCTTAGTTGATAGGACCATATTCCCATGGAATCTAATACAAAAATATTTTTGGAGATCGATATTAACTTGATGTCAATTTATGGATACGGATATCTAAAGGATCTGAAATACTACAAATTTATAGCGAAGACAATATATTAGGACATACTCTAGTACCTCCTCATTCCTTAATAATTAGGCCGGATATGTATTTAGCTGTATTTTAGAGACAAGGTATATTATCCGGTCTCAGGGACATAACAGACAAGCAAAATAGTGGGCAAATACACAAACAAACAAAACGGTGAGAAAGGTAATTAATACTCACTTTAACTAACAGTAAAACTCACCAAAACTATGAACATCAGCTCTCTTGGAATAACGTCCTCCAGAGGTGACCACTTCAGGCGCCATGTAACAATACGAGCCAATCTGGGTTTTTGTTTGACGTGTCCCTTCAGTCGCACGAGCAAGACCAAAGTCTCCGAGTTTGAGTACTGTGTGGTCAGCTGACAACTGAAAAATACCGTGTACAACGGATTGACTAAAACCAGCCAGCTCGTGATGATTAACATACAAACACGATATGTGAGAGAGCCGACGCAAACCTGCACTAGTTATTTTAGCCAGTGCAGGGAATGATGAAGACAATCAATTTTTTCAAACTTACAAAAATGATATTGAGCGAGTGAAGATGCTCAATGGCAGAGCCAATATCCTCTAAGAATCTGACGGAAAAATCTTTTCCCTGTCCGTCTCCATGGTTTTTCTCCAGATAGGCTTTAAGAGTTCCTCCCTCCATGAACTCCATCACTATCGCCAGCTGATTCTGAATGGAGATGCACTGAAGGACCTCCACTATTTTGGAGTGTTTTGCCTCCCTAGAAACAAGGAACGTTCACGACTGCTATAGAATTTTTCTCTCACTAGATGGTACTCTTTGTTAGGTTTATATGGAAAGAAGAATACGAAATGTTATTAAAGTGAATCTCTTTTCGTATTCACGGACTAGCTTTATTGATTAACGATAAAAGCTCAGAATAGCTTTGATGCTGCCATTGTATTGAACCCTCGGCTTCTGGGGTATTGTATCTGTAATCTCTATTTGATAGCAACGAGCAGAATATCTGCCAAAAGTGCTATTAATGAAGACACATTTTTTCTGCTAACATGTTCAGAAGAGTCCTACGCTTGAACATGTTTTAGCCTTGAACCAAAGATCCGGACTCTGACCTCCGTCAATCCGTCGGGAAGATTTTTCTCAGACATTACCTTTGATGCCAGAGGGGAAACATTAAAAAATATTAGCGTGCGCTGGAGAAAAATAGATTTCGTTTCCTGAAACTTGACATGTAGCGCTGTACCGGGGTTGAGCCATCGATCAGATATCGAGTTCCAAAATAAGGTCGCGTGTCAATTCATGACTAATAGAATACTTCAAACATCACTATTATACTAACCTTAGTGTGTCCACTTCTCGCTCAAAGTCCTCTATCTGTTTGCGGCTCTCGATATTCTTCAAGATCTTTACAGCCACATCACGGCCGCCCTTCTTAGCTCTAAAAACCTGGCCAAAGCTGCCTTCGGCAAGTGGATCGAGGTAGCCTGGGTCTAGCTTGCTTATCACTCTCTGGCTTACCCGAGTCAGTGTTTCTAATGCTTCTAGGTCTTCTGTCTGTCGAGATAAAATCAAGCACACAATGATTGGCTGTTATGATTACTTTGATTTTGGTTTTACTGACCCGAATTAGGTTGTCACGCCTAGCTTTCATCGCATCCAAAGTCCACCGAACCTTCTCGAAGGAATACACGCCTGAGGATGAAGCCATTTTAATCTACGTTAGACTTAGTTTCTTTGGATTTCCATAAAGTTGACTTTAGATTCACGCTTTCCTTTGCCAGATCATTCCATTCTCCCCTCTCCACTTCTTCGTCGCTTCGAACCTTTGTCTCTCCCTGCTTAATCGCATATTTTCAAACTACAACCGACACTCAATTGCTTCCCTCCTTTTTTCAGCTTCAAAATTTCTCCTTTTTTTCTTTTTCCTGAAGTTGATTATTTGCTAAGTGTACGTCAGTTGAAGGCTGTTCTGAAACAGTACATACTTCGCACTAAGCGAAAACATCAACTTACCAAAGGGGTTTTTAGAGAATACATCTTGGATGGTGGGAAGAGAAATCTGCTCGTAGTACTCGTCAGGCGACAATGCATTTGTGATGCTCATCGTGTGAAATATTATCTCCGAGGCCATGTTTTCTAGTGCAAGCTGTTGCCTAAGGTAATCTTCCCTTTGGATCCGCAGGTAAGATCTTTCATATTTCTGTGTTACGGAAACTTCATTTAGAAAATGTTATTGACACATTTGAAGATTCTGACAACTTCCTCTGAAGGGGAATTCCGTCAAGATTGGGGTTACTGTTGCTTTGTCATTTAGTACATCAGAGGAGGAGCAGAACATCTACCTAAAGTGCTATTGATGTCACAATTTCACATAAGATGAGATATTCGTGACTTGATTAGATGGCCTTTTTCAACGTGAATCAGTCTAACCATTACCAAAAGACACATTTTTCCGCTAACATGTTCAGAAGAGTCCTACGCTCGAACATGTTTTAGTCTTGAACCAAATATCCGGACTTTGACCTCCGTCAATCCGTCGGGGGGTGAGTGAGGGGGGGTGGTGAGGGGGGGGTGAGTGAGGGGGAGTGAGGGGGGGAGTGAGGGGGAGTGAGGGGGGAATGAGGGGGTGAGTGAGTGTGTTAAAGAGCGAATAACTGAGTGAGTGAGATAGAGAGATAGTGAGTGGAGGAGTTGGTGAATGAGCGTGTCAGTGTTTATACCGGCCTTGGGAAATTTTATCCTTCTAATTTTTTGAAGAACCACATTTGCAACTTACCTTTCCTTCTTTTAGTTCTTCTATAATTTCTCCTGTACTTAAGAACTGTACAAATTCCCAAAGCTGTATGTTTGCCTTTAAAGTCAGAAGATTTCCCTTTTTATCAATATCTGAATCATTGGAAGTCTCGAAAGTATAATGTTTCATCTGTCAAAAGACCGAAAGAAGAAACTTATATCGGTAATAACTTTAAATGACACACTATATAAACAAGAAAAACGTAACAGAAAATCACAAAGGTGCCATAAAATTATTAGAAACACGTATGTATATGAAAAAAAAAGAAGAACCTTTGAGTGAACAGCAAACTTTTCAAAGAAGTTCTTGTATTCCGGACGCTAGGGATCACATCCAAGAAACAAGACAGATCTTTCATTGAAGATTTGCTGCATCATTTCCACTTCTGGGCTTTCCAGGGTGTTGCAAAAGCCCTCGAAGTATTTCATCCTTCTTGACTGAAAATGGATTAAGTAAAGATTGAAAGCATTAACTACTAACGGCAATTTCAAAATACAATAATGCGTATAATGGACATTAAGACATGGCAGGGCAAATTCAAAGGAAACAAATCTGTAGTCAATAAAGTTAAAAGCTAAAATGGTTAATACGTATGGTCAGTTGAAGTTGGATATAACTGCAAAAAACATCGCCAGATTACTTACCAACGTCCGTGCAGTAACATCATTGTCCCCAAGGCACTTTATGATCAGATCTTCCTGCAGGTGAGGCCATTTTTGGGAGAGACTGGAAATCTTAAACCAAATAAAAATATGTAAAAATATTAACTTTCAAAGAAAAACTCGAAAACTACAGTAAGCATCAACTAAAAAAAAAAAAAGTATTCTATTCATCATCTTCCATCAATCATAGTGCGTTTCAAAACTCTATTTAATTCATGCTAGGCCATCTATCAACTCTTTCAAACCATTAAATCAAATCCATTAACTCAACAGAAGCACTTCTAAAGAACAGCGCTCTTCGATAGGTTTTGGCTCAGTAGGTAGGTTTTTGGATCAGGGTTTGGAAATGCTTAAAAGTCCAACTTCTACACCGACCTGGTCCAATTGCAGTGTCTCGCCACCATTCTCACTCTTCCAGATAAAACGCTCCAACAGGTCGTCCATGTTGGTGGTAATAATGAGAGGAAATTTCCCGACATTTCGCAAGGCATTGTGAACACGTGACGGAGCCTCGTCGATGTTTCCCAGGAAGTGTGCGTCCACCAAAATTGGTCCAACGCCTTCCTTTAAATTAAGTGGAATCTATAGTTTTGAAACTTACTCAAGAAATGCATAAGATGATGAACTTACAATCAGTAGTCTATGTCGGTGCTGAAATCACACAAACCTTATGCCTGAATAGAGTAACAGATTCTTTTTTTGAAATAAACGATATATTGTGAAAAGGAATCAGCTTTTTCCTAAAATAAAGTCCGGCAAGCCACTAAAGCGCCTTTTTGGAATCATCGATTACAAAGAAACACTTCTGATTTAATTCGTTAAAAAATTCAATGAATGAATGGAAACTTATTTTTTCAATATATCCATCAACACTAAGAAGTTCTCTCCTAAGGAACTGTGCACTACGACTACAAATTATAAAATAGCACTATAACTATCATTGTTTAAAGAGGTCATTTGCCTCAGAAGTTTACATTAAAATATCTCCCAACAAACCCTATTCACCACAAACCCGTGACCCAGTTTTGGCTACTGAGAGCATACTGCAATCTAAATCACAGCTTCAACATACGAAGTACATAAGAGCCTTTTTACCTCAACTCTTAAAGTTGAGTGTATTTCATTACAAATCCTACTTAGCTACAATCAGGAACTCAAAATTGTTAGACCCCATATTCAAGCTTCTTGAATTTCTAAACAAAGGACATTGAGGAGTTAAAGTAAAGAAAAAAGATTCCAGTTCAGCATCAAGGGAGAAACTTTTACGGACTTGTACAGCGTTAAAGCGTGACTCAGTTCATGTGAAACTTGACGTTTTGCAATCATGTGACTTAAGCGTTGTCGTTTGTTCGTTTTAAAATAATCCTTCTTACAGAAACGAATCATGAGTGAAAAGTGAAAATCGAACTTTCTGACTTCAAGTGAGGCGTCATATTGTTATGTATTAGACTTATCCGTTACGAACCTGCCAGCACTTGCCGTAGGGATATTGGTGATTTAAACGGCTAGCGATCAGCGCTTAAACTCTGAGTCCCTCCCCGACACGGTCTTACCTCAGTATGACTGACAGTCTTCCACCAATCATCCAGAGATGGACGAGGATCTCCAGTACTGGCTAATGTCGACATTTGTTCTCCGATGAATAGCACAAGTTTTTCTTGGACAATTTTGGAACGAATGACATCGAGTTCCTCAGACAAAAGGGAACGTACATTAGGCTTCGCCTCTCCAGGTGTAGCCATGTCTAGAACTGCCTCTATAGTTTTTTATAGAACTCCTTGAGTAAAAATTGAAAATCAGCAAAAATTATTATAAGTCTGTTTACATTTCCTAAAGACATGCTCTCGGTGAACAGAGAGCACTAATGAATCAACTACGTTTCACATTTCTTTTCCAATCTTCTAAATAGAATATATGTTTACCTGCCTTTTATGTGTCAGAGAGATTTGTGATATCGAGTGCAGATTGGAAAAGAAGGCTTTTTTGATCAGAGATATGAAACCCTCTTTCAAGCAGACCATTTCAGAAACAAAGTAAGGTATACCAAGAACAAGTTATTTGTAAGAGGGAAAACCAATCATATCAGCAGTTTTCCTCAATTTTCCACAAAGGTGGTTCGACTTTCAAGTTTAGTCAGGTGTTTTTTTTTACGTAGGTGGCTTTCCCTCTCCTTTTCCCTGCACCCAAGCAGTGAAAACTAAAACCCCTAAAAGAATATCGATGTTTGGGAAGAAGGAAGCCATGTTGAGCCGCCTTCAATCAAAAGTGCTAAGTCAGACAGATTGTAATATTTACAAATCTACTTTGGTTATTTATAGTTTTGGCGCATGTATGTATTTACCGGTAATGAAGAAGTTAAAATTATTATGCTATTCAGCATGGATTTCCCACTGATCAAGAAATGTCGGCTCTTACTATTTGTAAACTACGCCTTCATTTTCAATTCACTTCATGTATTTATTTAAACTTCCCTTTTCAATATTTGATTGATCCCCATGTTATATTGTTAAAAAGTCCTTATGTATGTGTAACCATTCTTACTATAGTTAAGAAATAAGCAGAGGACAGAGCGCTGTAACTTTAATAAAAGCGTTGGGTCTTTGTCAATCAATTTGCAAAGCTCAACGCAGCCCTTTCCTTTTCTAGCGTAATATATATATGTCTTTTTTTTTTTTTTAATTCCATGCAGGCATTTTCCGTTTCTCGGAAATTTTCAAAGTTATATTTAGTCTGCACAGTTCCAGGAATCGCGATGAATTCATCCGTAGCCTGAGCGTGGGAAACAATCCAAAGCTTCGTTCAATTGTTATTTTCTTAGAAACTTCAATGAATTGAGATTATTGAACCATTAAAGGCGAAGGTCCTGATGATAACGCCGTTTTGTAGCTCTAAGCTATACACCGCAAACAATACGAGTTAGATGGAAAATAAAAAAACAATGTCTGTGAATACAATAAGAACCTATTCTGTATGCTCATACTACAAACCAGACAGAGGGTAAGAAATTGCTTTGTCACCAACATTTAAATTTTAGCAGTCAAGAACTCGAAATTCTTATGTTGCAATCAGATATACTGCATCATTTTTGAGCTGTAACTAATTGTGATATCCTGTAAGGTCATGAGACAAGACGTGACCACTTTATTTATGTAATGGTCGTTCAGCAGTAGTATATAGTTTGGCGATGGTTTGCTTCTTGTTTTCCTTCATGCTTACCGTTCGGCAATAATCGGAAACCCCAAAATCGAATTATTCGGAATATTCGTGCCATCGGTAGGCTGCAATCTACCTTTCCTACAAAACTTAACTTCATGATATGAGACACGGTCCAATAATATTTTCCCCACGAATTATCGTCACGAAACGCTCGTGTTATTTGTGAAATACATTTACTCAGTTTGTTACTGATTAATCGTTCGCAAAGTAAATATCATCAACTGAATGTTACAAAGAGAAAAATTATAACTAGTTATGAGCATTTTACATCCTTACCTTCGAATGTTTATTGCGAAGCATAGGACGATTTCACTCGTATCCAGTAAATTGACAAGCTCAGGGTGTCCCGGAAGTAGATTGAATTACATAGAGTACCAATTAATAATGTGCCAGCGGCATCCGGTAACAACCAAACGCCCTCTCGCTTGCCTTCAATATTCCTACCAAAGCCTCGAACAACAAACTATTTTACCCTAACTTTCAGCTCAACTCAGCGCCGGTTTTCTTTTTCAGTTCAACATTAGCGATTTTCCAGCAGTATGTGACTTTGAAGATTCTATCGATTTTTGAATCCACGCATCGAAAGGCAAGCTTGGCTGAATGGAAATTAGCGGTGATATTTAGTCTACAAACAGGGGTCAACGAAAACAGCACATAACCTTCTGTCAGCAGCAAAGGGTTTAACATTTACATTGATTACCATGATCAGCGAGCGGTGGATTTTACATTTAAAGTGTTACATTTTATTGGCTGAACACTAACTTTAAATTTTCAATTAGTTTCTTTTCGTTTGCTATCTCGAAGGTGACATCGGGATGACTACGAAACATTGAATCAATTCGTTTTAATATTCTCAAACCATTTTAAAAGTTCTTCGTTTATTATCCTCATCCACTGATCTCCAATAAAATCCACTCTCGTTCTTTCTTTATTCTTTGGTCTTCCTTTTCATATCTTGTGGTTTTCTCAAAGTTAACGATTGTGATTTGGCTTTAAATTTCACATCCAAAAACCGACCGGAAATATACAAATATATCTCTAATCATAACAAATTAAAGACTTCACTAAAATAAATACAGTCTTCCTATTGTTAAAGAGCATGAAATGAGATTTTTGGTAAACTTCATTTAAAATGGGTGCGCTTGCTATTCATCCTAGAGGAACTTGATTTGGTTTTTAGAACTAACGGCCACTGGTTTCTTCATCCCAGAGTGTGATGTATTGATCCGCTCGCAGTTGTTCTACTCCTGTCAGTCCTTCCTCCGGGTACTCTGCGTCGACACCGTATCCAGTTATGTACACCTTGGTGTCTGAAGGCTGCAAAAAATAGAAGATAATGTTTAGAGTCGGGGAATGGTCAACACAGTCACAGCCTAACTACAAACTTTCTACTTGAAGGTAGCTAATGTGGATGTGTTGGTAGTTAGTATCGATAAGAGATAATGCCTCTCTCGGTTTTCAGTTGTCACGCAACATTCCAAACCTTTTACCGGTACTTAACTTAGGATTTTGTCGAGAAAGTGAATATTGGACATAGACATAACCTAGTTTCTTTCAGCACCACCGCTGGAATCGTCCATTTGGACCGTCCAACTCAGAGGCTAACACAAATTAAAGGAAAATGATCGACTAGTTTTACATCTCAGAAATCGACGGGAATTGCGTACAATTTAGTTGACAAAGCAGTACCGGGTTATGCCTCAGGAAACCTTTCGCATATGTAGCGAATTTATTCTGGTTTTCACACTTTTAAAGAATTCATAAAGATAGAGCCATGGTTCAAAGTGTTCAGAGTCACTGAGCAAAAATGAGACTTTATTTCAAACTGAAGGTAATTTTACATTTTCTCTCAATCGTGGAGTCAAAGTATCACTCGACACGGCACAGTGTATCACGAGTTGTTCTGGACAAGACTCGCAAATATGATACTGCAACACGTCTTCACCACCACGCCTCAGGATAAGATTCGTCTCATCCTTGTACCCAGTATCACGACTATCTTTGGAGCAACTAGTGAAGTTTAATCGGTTCAAATCAAGGTAAGGTTTTATTTTAAATGTTTTGAAGAAGAGTGAGGCAAATATGAAAAAAATATCTTCGTTGACTCTAAGACGCATTGGTAAATATACTATCGTTATGTAAACTGTAAAAGCTTACGTAACTTAGAAACAGAACAAAACAAAAAAATGTTAAAAAGCTAAGAGTCGCTTACCTGAATTCTCTGAACGTATTCAACAACTTCTGCAAACTAAAACAAGAGAGGATTGGTTAATGGTAGTCGGTGGGTAAGCTTTTTATGTTCACAGTAAGCTCAAAGACCTCTTGAAGTTGGTCCCTCCTCAAAGTGTCTGACAAGCACAAACCTAGCATACGCGAGCACATTAAGGCAACTGATGGGAACGTGATTTATTCTCTTATCTCCTTAATTGCATCAGTTGCGCCGCTGAGCGGCCTAAAATAAAAGCAACAACTAAATCTAAAGACATACCTTGAACGATTTCTACAGATTCTGCTTACATCGGTTATACGGCTTTGTATTAAGGTTCTCCAACTTAACTGTGCAAGATCCATGTTTTTCAGGTGGAGAGAGTTTTAAGTTAAGAACAGACCAGTGTATATATAACTAAATTTTTGCCGTTTCATGGTTTCTATTTAGAAAATTATAACTTTATTTTGTACACCTGAAAATTAAGTACCCACCGAAGCGTGTTCCTCAGTGCCCTTGTCCCTCGCATCAACAATCACGGTGGAGGCCTGGAAGAAGAACTCGAACACGTCCTCCCTGAAGCCAGAGTCTACGCAGTAACCAAGAATTGGTTCCTCTTTGAAGTAGAGCACAAATCCTATGGAAAAGAACTTAAAGTGAAAACTCAGTCTCGTTTGCTTTCAGACTTGAAATATCAAATATGAAAAGTGGGTTTGACTATCAGAAGTGAGCGACATTTTTAAATAAACTTATTTCGCTTGTAATTCACCGGCTGACATTTAAATTCCTTCCACCTTAATTCTATCCCAGAATGGAGATGTGAGAATTAAGCTGGTCTTGAATTGCCTAACAGTACAACACCATGACCTAATCCACTTCTCAAAAGGGAACCGTTAATTCTAAAGCGTGACTTAGACCTCTATGTCTCCAGCCACCTTGTATTAAATCATACTATTACTGTCTTGTCGACACAAACGATTATTCTGATAAACGTTCAAGCCTACCATAGCAGATTTCGCTATGAAGCGTCTTGTAAGTTTTGATAAAAAACTGTTTATCATCATCCAAGTAGGTTGGACTTCCATCTTGTTCACACGCCAGCCAGTCTGCAACTTGTTCCTGCACGGAAGAACAAAAAAAAACCACGTTTTAACTGCTATGTTTCATACGTTGCTTCAACTTGGCTGATGTAACACACAATTCCTTCCGAGAGTGGGCTATAACGTACTTACTTAACCCTTACAACAGAATTTAAACGAATCAATTTATTTAGATAGATATCACTGTGGTCGGTATTTGATGTTCTCTGTTCGCGACTGGATTTGTAAAAGGCATGTTCTTGCAATAATAATACTGATGAATGATTCAAGCATGAAAGATCTAACACAGAGCCATTTAGACATTTTACAAGGAAGCAGCTCTCCTATAATTTTTTTCCATCGAAGAAAAAAGTCACAAAGAATAATCAGTTTGATTAATGTCACTCCATTTGTGCAAGTTACCTTTGTTTGCATCATACTCGAAAGAGTGTAAGAGTGACCTATGACTTACTGGTGTATATAGACTGAGCATCTCGTCCAATCTGTGTGTCTTCAGTTTTTGTTGCACCTCTGGGCCAGAGAGCACCCTCAAGCGAGGTTCGCCAGCCAAATATCTCCGCTTGCTCTCGAATACGAAGAGCAAAGGCAGTTCACCAGCATGATCCAGGTGGTTGTGTGTGATAAAAACATTCCTTGGGAACTCGTTGTAAGCTGGGAATGCAATAAAAGGGTGTCTAAAAAAGCACGGACAAATCAAGGAAGAAGGATAGAGAATTTTACTGACCAAGTCTCTCCCTACAAGCTTTGACGACACCGGCTCCAACATCCGCCATAAGCAAAGGTTTCCCTTTGTGAAATACAATTGCAGAGGAGCTTGGCTGGCCATGAAGGACGGCTGAAATCAGTTTTAAATAGTGCCATGAGTACACGTCAGTTCATTATTTCCTATGTTTCCTTTTGGAGTACGTTTTACACCTAACATGGAGGTATGGGGAGTAGGGAGGGTTGAGTGGTGTTTGTGGTCGCCATTATTTCATCCTTCAGCGTCAGCCTCGGAATTGGTCGCTAATTATATAAACTATATCCTTTTTATGATGATTAACATGCACTAGGCAAAATACATGGAACTATGGCAACTTTTTGTGGGTCAAACATAAAGGACCGCCACTACTCTGTATTAATACATGCCTTTCATGAGTAAATAGATAGGCATAAAAGGCCGCAGTACGTTTACAGTCATAGGATCTAAGAGCAGAAAGGTGGAGATGAGGGAAGAATTCACTACTCTCTAGACTGGGTCGCAACGTTATGGCTTATAGATAAGTAAAGCAGAGTAGATCTACTCTACTCCGCGAAGACCAAAACCATGTCGTTGCATCAATACCTGTTGTGCCTGTCCCAGTTCCAACGCAGTACAGCTCCACTGAATTTTTGCGTGTGGATATTTTCCCTCTCAGTATGTTGAGAACAAAATGCATCTCGGGACGTGATTTCTCTGGCTTCAGACACTCGACCATAATTTTCTTGAGCTTTATGGCAAGTTCCTCTCCAAATTCTTCAACAGAAATACCCTGAAAGAAAAATGTGAGTCCATGTTAACAGAAGATTTCGCCAAAGAATCAAACGACAAAGAATGATGATGTATCACGTACATATTGTAATTTTAAACACCATTATCCACAGTTATTGATTCAGTGTCCTGCAGTACTAAATGAAAATTCATTCTGATGGAAAATAACGAAAATTAAGTCCAGTTGAAGGTTTCACGAGTGACACGATTTACTTTTATTAGTATAATTCTGATTCCACAATAATCCTAAACAATTTCTGGCTCTTCACAGTCTATAGTTACCGGAATGGTCGGATTTTCTCCAGCCATTTTCTTGTTGAACACCGTTTCATGCTGCAGTATGTTATCAAACACTTCCTTACCACTCAGCACTTCAATCAGACACAAACCTAGTGGGAGAAGGACAGACGAGTAACTGATAAGGCAACTTTGATGTTATTTTCCCACTGAATCTTGCTTTAACTGTTTAGGTATCTCTTAGGATAGATATCAACTCATTGAGACTGGAACAAAAGCTTTTGACGTTAAAAACTGTTAACTACACTACATATCCCGTTTTTGCATTGCTAACATAAGACTTAATGACTTCAAAGAAGGAGTATTTTTAAAAACTAATTTGTCCAAATGTTGTCCCTTGATCTTCTTCGTGAAACTTTCTGTTCTTTAACCGAAACGGTCTACCTGGCTTGTTCAAATGATACAATCTTGCAATTGATGCCAACCACAATCAATTCAAAGTAAAAGATTGCAGATATCTTGTGGATCGGAACTATTCTAAGTTGATAGCCAAATTTAACTAAAACCAAACAGAAGTACACTAATGTAATCGCAATTCCGTCGAATCTATTTTGAAAGGTTTTTTCTACTTCCTACCAAAAAGCGGACTATATTCGGCTATCTGATTTCAGAGATAGGGAATGGTCTTGGTAAAATAACAAACAGGCAAACAAAACAGCGAGAAAAACAGCAAGCAAGTCACCGTTATATCATCATCGAGGCTCACCAAAACTGTGAACATCAGCTTTCTTGGAGTAATGTCCCCACTGCTGACCACTTCAGGCGCCATGTAGCGATACGAGCCAATTTGGTTTTTGTTTGACGTGTCCCTTCAGTTGCGCGAGCAAGACCAAAGTCTCCGAGTTTGAGTACTGTGTGGTCAGCTGACAGCTACGAAGTAATGGCGTAAAGAACAGACCTACTTAAACTGGTCACATCACGACGATTAAAATGCGATGTGCAAAATTACCTCCAACGCATTGTAAAAAAACAAAATACTTGTCAATTTCTTGAGATGACTACATAAGATGGTAACGAACACAGCATTTAAGAGGAAGCCTTTTTGTACCTCGATAAATATAATAATGTTTTCATTTCTAGATGGTGCAGTCTAGGATAGAGACAGTGAAATTATTACACTCACAAAAAATGTTTTCAGGTTTAACGTCTCTATGCATGATATTGAGCGAGTGAAGATGCTCAATTGCAGAGCCAATATCCTCTAAGAATCTGACGGCAAAATCTTTCCCTTGTCCGGTTCCATGGTTTTTCTCCAGATATGCTTTTAAGATTTCCTCCCGCCATGAACTCCATCACAATTGCCAGCTGATTCTGGATAGAGATGCATTCAAGCACCTTTACAATCTTAGGATGCTTTGCCTCCTGAAAAAAAATAAATCAATTAAAATAAGTGCTGTGAAATTCGTCCCTCACTTGCTGGCGCTGTTTGCCAGCGTTAATACCGCGAGAAGAATAGCAAAGTGTCATTTCAAGAATAGGTACATAAAAAACCAAAACAAACCAAGGCGAAAAAAAGAGATGGATTCGAGTCTGCTAGAGCATCGAACCGCCTTCTTTTTAAAAAACCTACGGGCTTACTCTACATCATTACTTTTATTGAGGTCACAATTATTGCAAGAATAATCTGTTTAAGTTGAGATATACGTTTAGAAAGTTAATCAGGTAGGCCATCACTGATTAAGTTTAACAATTCAAGAGCTTAAGGATGGACATGTTGTAACAATGAGGGGAAACCAAGGAGTGGACTTTTATTTTTTATCAGTCAGTTGGAAAGTTGGTGCTCAGCAACTATCTTTGATCTGAAAATATCTTTCCGCGCTGAGTCCAAAAAAAAAATTAAATTCGATGTTTTGACCCAGTTTGTGGCATTGTAAGGTGTGAGGTTGAGCTAATGTAACATATCAACGTGCATTTTACATATATAGCTAGATTTCTACAAAGATCACCTTTATTCTAACCTCAGTGTGTCCACTTCTCGTTCAAAGTCCTCTATTTGTTTGCGGCTCTGGATGTTCTTCAGGATCTTTACAGCCACATCATGACCGTCCTTCTTCGCTCTGAAAACCTGGCCAAAGCTGCCTTCACCTAGTGGATCGAGATAGCCTGGGTCCAGCTTACTGATCACTTTCTGGCTTATGCGAGTCAATGTTTCTAATGCCTCCAGGTCTTTTTTCTGTAAAGATAAAAGCAAGGAAAACATTGGTCAGGTGAACTTTTGGGAGCTTGAATAGATGTATTGGTACTCCCCAGCCGGGAAGCAGATCCATTGCATATAGCCATTCAGCACTGAAAGGGTATTGGTAAACTTAAGCCGCTCATGGTGTCCTGGTGGAGAGAGGTGCTATGATAGCAGACAGTTGAAAAAAGGAGCCCAGATTGTTTATGCCAGTGGTAACATAACCCTAAACCCTATATCTTGCTCTAAAATTGTCCATTTTTTCAGCGTCTAGAAATCGTAGATACTTTGCCTCGACTGCCCCTCTAAAAAGGAAAAGAACAACCGAGACTAAATGTGACTCACCACAGCAAAACGTGTAATTAGGTGAATGTACAATGGATTTTAAATGTATGACTTTTTCCGTTTTAACGCTACTTGTCCAAGGCCATGCACAACGACAATACTGTTGAACATCTTCTCTCAACAGTACGCACATACAACATAGCCCAGTCAGTAACATGTAACCTCATGAAAAGTGAGTTATTTCATGACATACGCTCATTTGCACCGGGTTCTTCGAAGCCCAGGCAATTGATATGTTGCCCTGGCCAGCATTCAAATCTAATGGTAATCTCGCCAGGAAATCGAACAATTTAGCCCCGATCTAATCATTGACGTATAAAGTAAACCTGTTAACTGCATACAAGGGTGTTACCAAACTCTGATCATAATGTTTAGGAGCATGAAGATGAAGCCACATACTTCAATTGCATCAATGTTGAATTTTTCTTTCATCTGTGCGTTTTCTTTCATAATTGCTGTGGCGAGTTTCAGAATGGAATCTTCGTTGTTCCAGGCGTTTGCACGGCTTCTCTCGTACACCTTTCGTTTATTCAACACCTCATCCCCGTTTATGTTAATGAGTTGAGCGGCGAATTTTCTATCTTCAGGAGATGAGGCTGTTTCAGCGTAGCAAATAGCTTCATCTGTTCCCCCTGTGCCATAGGAGAAAGAAAATACGGAAACAAACAATCAACGAGAAAAGCGAACGAAAGAAAACTATGAAGACGTTAGCCAGTAACATCTATCCTTTACCTCAAACCTTTAAGACACAATGCCGTACTGCTCTAAATTGAGAGCATTCAAATGGTATAACACATTTTTAACAATTGTTTCCATTTTTATGCAAAAAACATACTTTCATTTTAACAAATACTGAGACACAAAACCTTTGCAATGTTAAACTTACTTATTTCACTAGTGGGCCTGGCCCAACCTGGTCAATAGGTACAGCGGAAATCACTGACATTATTATGACAGCATATATATATTCATGGTTTTTTCTGTCTTAAGAGAGATAACTTTCCATTCAGCTGTTAGTCGATTTTATTCTCTTTAATGATATCAGAATATATACCCACGCATGTATTTCCATGAGCTATCATAATCCCAGCTATTCAGTTTTAGGCAGTGCTTTAAAGTGACTTTTCAGGTCACAAAAAAGAAGCATGTCATCGTATTTTGGACTCCGGCTAAGCAGATAGGGCTTAAATAAATAACCAACCTCTGAGGCGGATGAGAGCAAAGGTTTCCTTCTCGACCTCCTGCACTTGGTAAGTTTCCTCATCACCAACAATGAGAATTTCCAAGGTGCTATTACTTCGCATGAACGACTTACAAAGTAGAACGGCCTTTGCGTATTTACTGATGGAAATCTTGCACTTTTGCAGGATTTTCTCTTTTTCTTTGTCAGACGGAGGAGGTACCTTCTCTACTTGCTTCCATCCTCCTATCTCGTTCTTCACTCCGTGGTAGAAGAACAAGGCAGTGACGCTGGTTTTTGATTCAGTTATAAGCTGTGATCATAGAGATAGACCCTCCTTAGTAAACTTCCATGCATCAAAGGAAAGATTGTTTAACGACCATCACAATATTTACTCACCTTTATTAGATTGTCACGCCTTCCTTTCATTGCATCCAACGTCCGCTGAACCTTCTCCTCAGAGTAAACGCCTAGATATCAAATAAAGGAATTTTAGGCCATGCAGCCGCGTGAAAAGGAATTGTGAGGATCTCTCTGTCCATCCTTCATCTCACTATATCTGCCAGCTTCCTTGTCTTTCTTCACCTCTTTCAGATATCCCATTATAACTACCACAAAGGCAAAAACACTAAACCAAGAATGGACTTTAGGACAGTTTGAACGGATGGTCAGGGCGTTGGGCTTGTAATCTGGTGGTTGCAGGTCAAAGCCCTCCTCTCAGCTACTCACTGGAATTCTTCCCACTTGCCTGGACCTCGACTCCCTGGCTGTGCTTTTCATAAAGCACCTCGTCTGCCTCCTACCAGATGGTCACGTTCATTCATTTTTTCACTCATTATTCACTTATTTACTCTTATTGTCCCTAAAAAGCCCCACGGGGGGGGCTGGTCAATTAAGTATACACACATATACTCATGCATACCTACATACGTACACGCATACAGACTTAAAGTTTTAACTCTATTTTGAAATTGAACTTAGTTCGCACCAATAAAACGGCAACTCACCAAAGGGATCTTTCGCGAATATGTCTTGTATGGTGGGACGTGAAATCTTTTCAAAGTACTCGTCAGGCGACAATGCGTTTGTTATATTAATGGTGTGAAATATTATCTCCGAGGCCTTTATCTCCAGTGCGAGCTGTTGCTTGAGATATTCTTCCCTCTGGGTCCGCAGGTAGGATCTTTCGTACACCTGTAGGAAGAAAAAGGTAATAAAACACTTAAATAAAACTGAAAAAGAGGTAATAGCGAAGCGCCCCGAAAAAAGGTCACTGATGGTTGGGTGCATGGGTCAAAATCAGCTTGCTCTACCAACAGGTGCGTCAGCGTCAATGTTTTGTTATTTGGTTTTTGGATGACTTCAATAGTGGAGAGTTTTTCATCAAATGCATCCAGTTTATATTACCTGTCCTGGTTGTATTTCTGCTTGGATAGTTCCTGTACTCAAGAACTGCACGAATTCCCAGGGTTGTATGTTTGCCTTTAACGTTAGGAGATTTCCATTTTCATGAAGGTCTGAGTCCTGGTAAAACTCAAACTTGTAATGTTTAAACTGTAGAAAGAACGGAGAATAACGATAAAAATATCGATTTCGAAGGAAATTTGATGTAAAGTAAACACGCAAGTAAAGAAAACCACCACGAGCTCTTGCAAATTTCAACAGCTGTCTACCTTGGCATTAACTGCAAATTTTTGGAAGAAATTCTTGTACTCTGGGCGCTCGGGATCACAACCGAGAAACAGCACAGATCTCTCATTAAATATTTGCTGCATTAATTCCACTTCAGGACCTTCAAGAGTGGTGCAGAAGTCTTCAAAGTACTTCTTGCTACTTGGCTGAAAATAATCAATCAAAATGAGGAAAAGCATATTCAGCATTATAGCTACATCAATAATTGAGAGTAATCAAAGGCAGCAGCGCAAGAAGAAAAGCACCAAAATAATTTTGCTACTGTTTGAATTTAATTACAGCTCTATGGGTTTTCAGTGCTACTTGGTTGAATGTCTGCACACTCCGCGATGTATTATGACTACGACATCTTGAAGTGGCAAACGACCAACGAATGGGACATTAAATGCCTGATACTTACCAACGCCCGCACGTTAAAACCACAATCCCCAAAACACTTGATGATCAAATCTCTACGCAGATCTGGCCAGGACTGGGAGAGACAGGAAATCTGGAAGACAGTAAGTAAAGTAGTTGAATAACCCGTCGAATGGCACCAAGTGGCACGAAAGCCTATTAGTTCCTCCCCTTCTCACTTTGCACGTTCGTTCTATCATACAGGGCCTTTTTTCGTCTAGGTTGATATTTAACGGGAAGTGGGCAACTATCTAGAAAGCTATGGCAAAAAGAATCCATCTTAATGTTAGGATATAAGCCTGGCTGCAAATAATTCTCAAACGCGAAACCTTTCATACATTCTTAACCAGATTTGTAAACCAGCAGCAAAGTTGTTTGAAGCGAGATCATCAAATACCGTCTGGGATATAGAGACGAACAGAGTATCATTCGTTTCAGAGAAATGCCCAAAGTAAAGCTTTATAAGGGAAAATCAAAATAAGGCTGCAAACAAAATCACACTTTTGTAAGAACTTTTTGGATCATAAGACACAGGAAAAACAAATACTTTGCAACAGATACATTTGAGTCGAATCGTCTTTCTTTTTTACCAACCTGGTCCAGTCGCAGTTTCTCGCCACCGTTCCCAGTCTTCCAGAGAAAGCGCTCTAGCAACTCGTCCATATTGGTGGTTATGATAAGAGGAAACTTCCCAACATTCCGTAGGGCATTGTGAACACGTGACGGTGCCTGCTGAAGATCTCTCAGAAACTTGTCTTCGAGATCGAGAAGTTCATTCGTGCCTTTCTGCAAATTAAGAGACACATGAAGAATTGTACCTTCATATGGGCAGCGAAACCACCAGCAGAATTCTTTTGAGCTCCTCGTTAACATCAAAGCTTGCTCTAGGCAACGTGTTATAATTAATCAAAATTTAAGAAAGGTTTTTGGTTATTTATCGTGGAAAATTCACTGGTAATTAAGTATCATCGTCTGTGATTTACCATCGTAGCGTTTTCGCCTTAAGACGACTGGTACTATGCCACTGAAACTTCGCGATCTTCAGCGGAAGTGACTTCATTTTGAGAAAAACGATTATACCTCACGAGAGATAATTAACTCTTGCAATTCATTCATAACATCTTGGCTGGCTCCTCAACACTCCCTTCCTTCCCCGAGAGTGCATCCGGAGATACTCCGTTTACACCTACGAGGTGAGAAAACCAGCATAGTTTTTAGTCCTAAATTTTGTACATTATGCATGTCTGTCATCGCGTTTTCGATGCCTTTTGATGGCCAAGCAATTTTAAGATCATGTCAGCCCCTGGTCCATGCCATTACCAACCTCAATGAATTTCTGGATACGAGTCCAATGTCCTAATAATCTCACTTCCGGCTACGCAGTAGACATTCTTACCTCAGAATTATTGAGAATTTGCCACCAGTCATCCAATGAGGGGTCATGCTTATCCGTACTGACTAAAGTCGATACTTGCTCGCCAACAAAGAGCACGAGCTCTCCTTTTACAATCTTGGAGCGTATGGCTTCGAGTTCTTCAGACAGTAGTAAGCGAACATCTGACTTCTGATTTTCCATTTCAATAACTGGATGCGCAATTCTTGACCTAAAACAAAAGAGATGCAAAGCACTCAATGGCTCGACTCTTCCTTTTTCTTTGCGTGGAAACATGTTATCCGTTCCAATTGTAATTTTTTAAAACCTTTTCTTCGGTATTTGCCGTTGAATGCAGAACGGGAAAAACAGTGCTATGACTTGCTGTCAGATATTCAGAACACGAAAGAAATAAATGTATCTCGCAAACTGGTCTATTCTTCCTCCAAGGGCCTTTTCTCACAAGCGAAAAAGTTGTTTATTTAGTCAAATTTTCCGTCATCACTAACATTTTACAAGTGCGGATGGTTTTTCGAAAAGAAAAATTTTGACTGAAGCGAACAAATTTTCAAACGCACCACCGACGAAAATCGACTAAATAAACAAACTCGGGGATTCTAAAATTTTAGAACGACTTAGGATAAATCCTGGAGTTCTAATCCTTTGGCAAATTATGCCGGCCGGTCTTGGAACAGATCATGCGCTGACGGAATCTGAAAGCTTTTAAATTTTTAATGCGGATGTAATAGACGAAACAAAAATTTGAAATGATTTTGAAATTTGAAATACGTACACAATACAAACTATGCACACTATGCATGTATCTGCAAACTAATCATGAAAATCTATGAGACCGGAAGTTTGCGAGACCCCTCTGTTCCACTGTTCTTTCCCAAGGTCCGTACCACCTATGATTTTTATCAGATGCTGTTGCAACTTTCACCGGAAGTTGTGTCACGCAATTTAAACTGACCTTGGCAATTCGATGCGTACATCTAATGAGTTCCGGTACGCTTATTTGAATACTTCCGCGAAAACTGATTCTTAGAAGATACCTAAAGGATAAAATTTACTCATATAGTAACACATGTGCACAAACGTGGCAAGGGAATTTTCGTGTAGCAGTGGTGAAAGTCAATTCAATCGTGTCTTCAAAATTAAAGGTATTCTGACTTAATCGTATACGTATCTTATTACACGTTTTAGTGTGTAGTCTCGCCGAGTATTTTTACGACTTGTGCCGTACTTTGACGAGACTTTAAGGCGCGTCAAAATACATAAAACAAGTAAGATTACTTAGCGATACTACAACCAAAACGTTTAATATGTTATTTATCATCCAATCATTTTTTTGCGAAGTATTTCTGCTCATTCTTTATAGGGCAGGAAAAGAAAAGTGGAGAGAGAAACGTAGGGCGCGCAGCCGACCAGTTAAACAGGTTTTTTTACAGTACAAAATAACTAACTGTCCAAATAACCGTACAATATCGCAGGGTATTTGTACTCTATTCACGCGTTATTTGAACTCTACTTTGTGCAGTTGGATAATACTGTAAACATTTTCGCGTTTGGTCGATCCTTCTTTACTTTAATTAGTTATTTCACGGACGTGCACCGGAACCTTAGTTGATGTAAATGTGTGGTTTTAGTCTCGAAGGAAGAGGCAAATGAGAAATGATGGCGTCTCTACCAGTAAGCTTTCTTCGAGTCACTTTGTCCGGTAGTAGCAAGTCCCTAGAGTCTCATTTGCGCGGCAGACGAAAACAAAGATGTTAGTCAAAGTGATAATAAGGATATGATAATTTCAAGTTCTGTGTATATTTAAAACATGCCTAAGCGCTTTGAGTAAAAAGAAAGAGAAATTGAATTACCTTTCTCTCCGGTTCTTATACCTGTGGATGTCAGCCGTTTCTCTCTTCGAGCTGGAAAATGAAATTGAAGAGTTTTCACTTTCCAAATCCCGGAAGACTTTCGAAATCATGCTCGATTCGTGCCCAGGGCATCTCGAAAGTTGAATACCTCGTTTCCGAGAGAGGAAATGAGGTAAACAAATGGTTACAAATACATAGGAATGGACTTCAATCAAATCTTTCTCCTGTGGCAGAGTCTGGTATTGAAGAAGTCGATCCAGCTTGCCGACGTTACTTTAAATTTGGTACGAGTACATCAGCCTTGAATCAACAAAACCTCGAAACGCGACAAGCAACATCCACTTACACAATGGCTCAGCATGTCGCTCCAGCGTTGGACGTAAGTGCATCAGCCTATACCAATTGCATTGGGTAATCACCGTAAACGAATGAGGGGATCACTTCCACCAATGGGCTCGAAATAATAACTAATGGATCACTTGAGCTGCTCTGTAACTTAAAATTAATTGTATGAAAAGGTTTAACTTCTGTTTTGGTCTCCACTCTTATGATACAACACGCACTTTATCCCAGTCTAGAAGGATTTGGCAGAGGCCAACATTTCCCCTTGATCCTTTAAAATGGTCATGTGGACCAGATGTGATTGCCATGGTCATAGCACATGGTATGCTTGTGAGATGGGCTTCAGAGCCTTCGTAAGATATTAAAAAGAAAAAAAAAAAGATTTTTAATTGTAAGTGAATACCTGTTAAAGACGTCAGTACTCACTCTGATTTTATCTGCCAGTTTAAATTAGCCACACTCAGCTATGATTACAAGATTAAAGGTTCATCCGGGTGGGAGCTATCCTAGTTTCAATTGCCTGAAGCTACCAAGAGTGTAGCTCAACTCCCTCTTAAATAGGATGATATTCCATTGCACCTACCTCCTCTCCCAGACAATTTTATCAGGTTCCTGCAAGATTTTTTCCCTGCAAATTTACTCAGACCCTAGATTATCAACCCCCCTTGCTTGGAGAGATTGGGGACAGTCTGAACAAGAACAACTTTGTGACCAAGCTTTGGCTACAACCCCAGCCTTTTGGTCCAGAGTCCAGCTCTGTTTATCCACTTGTCAATGACCTGATCCCCTGACTAGACTAAGCTCACTCACAGGGGCCTAACTATACTTTTTTGGTCTGGAAAAAAGGTGATTGTGTATTTTGGTTGTCTGGGTGAGAGTAGTCCTGAGAAAGACTGTTGTGGATTTACTAAGTAGCAAATGACATTCTGACAACCCTAGCAGAAGTTATCATCAGAGTTAAACAAAGAGTTGTTGCCAGTCAAGTTATAGTAGTGGTCCATGTAAACTGACTGGCCAGGGTTGCTGTGATTTTATGGGCTGCATCTGACCCCAAAAAATATAAATTGAATGAAATTAAGATAATTGCAATGTATTACTTTTGTTTGGTATCTTATTTATCGTCAAATGTGTAAATGTTTTCCCCATTAGGATGTTATCAGTAAGACTGTGGACATTTTCCACAACTACTATAAGTGTGACTATCCAAAAAGCCCACAAGTAAAGGATGGATTGAAGCGTCTTCTAAATGAAAGATACAGGGATGATGTCAATAGCTTCATTGACCACTTTGTTCATCCCACTCAAAGTCTTCTTAGCAGTTTGGAGGAAAAGGCACAGTATAACTTTTGCTCTAATTAATCATTTATTTTTGTTATTTTACACTGTAATTGGGATGAACTTTGGAATGATGGTAAATAATGTACATAGTGTAATGATTTGCTGTGGGTGAGGGCTGAGCCTTGCAATTACATCGTACTACCAAAGTTTAAATGCTATGAAACTGTATAGTTCAGTTGTTTCCAGAGTGACACTGGTTGTTCAAGATATATGAATATTATTGAGAAAAGACTGTTTTAGGTATTCTAAGTTTTTTAAAAGCAGCTCTCAAAGGTGGATCTTTCTAAATCATAGTGCTCTACAGCTCAAGTGCTATCCTTGCTAAGGCAATTACACTACTGTAGCATGTTGCATCATTCTGTGTCCAAATATGAGTGAGATGATAAGAAAACTCAATGGAGATTTAGTTACCAAAAATCTGTGTAAACTCAGCCATGTAGCCAAATGATCCCTTACTACACATGTGTTACATGAATTTGAGACTGACAAGCATAACCTCATGACTTCTTATGTCATGCGGCACAACTACATGATAGAGTTTTGTTTTAATACAAAGTGATGATCACTCAGTTTCATATTTTCCACTATAGAAGTTTCCCCTTTGCTTACCCAATGGCAAAGTAGTTCTTCATCTGGTTCCTCCTATGACCAAATTGGCAGTTGGGGAGTTCTTTTACCAGGTGGGTCTCATTAGAACAAGTGGGTTCAGTAATAATGTATATGGACCTGTATTACAATAGCTGATAATGAAACTACTATCTGAAATGCCCACATGTACTGTTGGCAGTTCTGTGTCAATCAGGCATTTTGAAACTGATCTTGTGACTTTTTTCTTCTTTTCCACTGTCACGTGTAGGTGGGCCATACTAATCCACGCACTTTAGTTGTTAAATTGGCAAAATATGAGCAGAGAGGGACTAAAGTGAATGAATTGCAGCGCTCAACAGTTCCTGAAGATGACCATGACATTGCATTCACCAAAGAGTACTTTGACCAAATAAGGGGTGAGGTTCCGGATGGACTGGGAGATGTTCTGATGCGTACCCTTGTTGTCATGGGTAATCCAAACTGGACGGTTCAGAGAGAGGGTGCGGCAAATCACCTTGGGAATGTAAGTTGAAATGTGGTAATTTCTTTTCTATCTTGTTCGTTCATAGCAGATTTAATAATGATCAAGAGAGAGGGGAAAGTGAAAAATTATGAAGGGAGCAGGGAAGACAAGGCATGTAATATGTAATAACCATCTGTTATATGCAGAAAATAAAGTTACGCTTCTCTTTTGAACAAATAGCTAAAAGTGGCCTATCAATGTTTTTGAACAGTCAGAAGGTCACCTGCCTAGAATAGATTTCAAAATATTAGAGAAAGGGTGTGTTGTTTGAATTAGTGTGTATCATCGCACTTTGGAGTTAATTATACTTGAACTACTACAAAATTAAGGTGAAATTGGCCATGGTAGAATTCTACACTACTCTGTGCAAAATGTTGACAACATTTCTGAATTCTCAGTTCATATTGATCAGTTATTGATTCCTAAAGACTTCATGCCTCCTCTAGAGAACTTAATGTTCCCTGTATTGTGTGGCAAGACCAAGGGAAAAACAGACTTGTGTCTTACCTGATTTAATGAATGTTTCATCATATTCATAAGTCATATTCATTTGTAAATATATTACATGAAAAATATATTAATCAATAGCAATGTCTTCCTTAGTGTCCAACAGAAAGGCATAGCAGGTTGAGGCCAGAGTCCCATCTGTCTGTTCAGGAAAGCTGCGATGATGATTCAAGCACTATGTCGGAGCCCAATTCTCCAACAGAAAATGATGATGTTTACCCATCAACAGATGGGGTATTTGTGCATACCAATGGTTGTGACAAAGGAAAATAAATATCTACTAACTTCCTCTTTAACCCCTAAGCAACTTATTTAGCTTCATTGTTACTTGTTATCAGTGTTTATTTGCTTTGAAAAGGTACAGATGAGTACATGTACAAGTATTAGTTAACCCTTTAACTCCCATGAGTGATCAAGGCAGAATTTCTCCTCACATTATCAATACAATATCAAATAGAAAAGTGATGAGAAAAATGAAAAATATCAATTAGGGATGATTGGTTGATCCAATAACAAATTCTCTCAACTAACATAAAGACAATTGTATGGCTGACAGAAAAGAGAATTAACAATGACATCTTGGGGGTGAAATGGTTAGGGATCGATGACATTGTGGAGTGACTGATCAAATCTAATTGGAGACTTTTTTATTACTTTTCATGTTAGGATGAATAGGTTTGGTTTTAAATAAACCAGCCCTGGTTTTATTTTCAAATTCAAATTTTTATTTAAGGTTCCATGCATTATTTTCTTTCTAAAGATGCTATCAGAAAGTTTATTTACTACTGGATACTTTACACTTAATATATATAGTTTTTCCACAAATCATAATATATTAGTAAATATTTCATCTCCACGAGAAACAGGGGTTTTAAGTATGTTTATTGGACTTAAACAATTTTAGAAGTTGAAACTGTTCAAATGTTAATTGTAAAACAAACCTTCCCAACCACAGTTAGACTGTGTATATTTGTTTAAGTTGATGGTCAACTTTGTTAAGTTAAATTCTTCCACTGCCTTTTTGTGATACTATTAAAGGATGTGTCACATATATCTGGTGTAATTGTTGAGTTTAAGTTTCATAATTTATCTGTTCATTTTCTTATCTTGACTAACTCTAAAAATGGGTAGCTACAGGTGATCAAGAATCCACAAGAACTGTTTGAATTAGCCTTAACAAGGCTCTTAGAATGACATTTAGGAGGAAAGATAAGGAGGTCCTTCCTTTCCTGTCCTTAGTGTCCCCTCATTTGTCCTCTTAGTTTCCCAACTGTTTCTCATCCTCAGAAGCTGACTTCTGGAATAGGCAACAGTTATAAAACCTGTATTTTGTCAAAAAAATGTTTGAAGAGTACCAGTAAACAAAAACTATTTTCATAAAATTCTGTCTCTATTGTATTTAAAGAATAACAATAATTGAGATGATTTGGAATTTAAGATTTCGAGCCAAATTTCTGAGCCAGGGACTTGAAATTTTAAATTTGCCAATAGTAATGTTTTGAAGCTAAAATGTAAATTGCAAAGTCATAGTATTTATTCAGACTTGATCTTCTAAATAATTGATGTGACTTTTATGTCCAGTCAGCAAATACCTCAAGAAAGGGCTTGAAATTCCCATCCCCCCTTGCATTATGATCATCAAGGATGGCAAAAGAAATGTGCTTGTATCTGTTGGCAAATCTGCCCTCGGACAATACGTCCTTGAAAAGCTGGGCCATGTGAGTTGTGGGATTTCTAAATGCTCCACAGCCAAGAGCTGAGAGAACCAGTGAGTCATGACCATAATACAGACCAGCAGACAACATGCAACGTATCTTGTGTTTTGTGTTCTCAGCAATCACTGGAATGAGTTTATTCTTGTCTTTTGTCAGAGCAGGATTAGAGTATGCAGGTAGGGCCAAAGAGAACATTGGAACAGGATTGGCAAGAAATTTATATCCTTCAGCTTCAGATGCTCTTATGATGAACACATTTTTTGAGTAGATGCATGAGAACTCTGGAATTCAGTATTTCCATTCTCTTGTGGGATCAAATTTTTTTTCTGGGTCTGCTAAATGTTGTACATAATCTGTACAACGGAACAAGTTCTCCTCCTGTGCGCCTGCTCCTGATAAGTAACCTCCCCCTAAAAATGCAAACAAACAAAGAGAATAAGAAAGGCTATGTAGATATAGTGACACACCTACATGTGTGTAGGATAAAAATACATTTACTGGGTTAAGTTTCAAAGAAACCTCCCCCACTCTTGACAGAGGGAAACAGATTGTGGAAAAAAATATGATTGTGTGTGGAGAGGGGGTAGGTGGTGTACCCTAAAGTGTGAATGACAGGGGCGAGTATCTTACCATTCATGGATCAATCTGTTGATAAATCAATGTTTTCTGACGGCAGTCAGAATTTGTATCCAATTGATACAAAACTGGTCAGCTGATATATATCTTAAACATAACCATTACCACACTTGACCTAGAAGTAATTTTTCCACTCACCCGGTCTTTTTTTTGAAGCCATGTTCAGGACAGCTGGGTTAAATCCCTTATTCTTCAAGCGGATGGCTTCCTCGAGACAATCTGCATTGACTACTATAACCTCAGTTTTGAGACAACTTTCCTCATCGCCCTTCACATCCCTTCCTGGGGTTCTTCATCAGTGTAAAGCGTAGTCTCTCTTGCATCTCTTTCGTGATTTGAAAAAACGACCTCGGAGCCGTCTTCCAAAGTGTACTTGAAGTTTTCACATGCTTTAAGGGTTTGTTGCATTATTTACGATCTAAGATCTTTTAAGTTAGGAATATCGGAATTCTGGAAGCCATGCCTTGTGGTCAAAACTTATTCCACCTGCTCCCTTTGAGGCCATTTCGATAAAATAATAATGAGTTCTGTTCATGGCTAATGCAGTTATTGCATTTTATACAATATATGCTACTTTGTTGCACGTTGTCCTTTCGTAGACGTCCTAATAAACCAGGCGTTCCTTGCATTTTGATCAGCGGGTTAGCTTATTAGACTACCTTTTGAGACGCTTCGGATTGGTGAAAGAGTAAGATTCTGGTAGCGTTTTCAAATGCGAGGTATTTGGGAAATTTTCTTCCATACGTTGGAAAGCCTAGGAAGACGAGAATTTGACATTGCCTCATGGCTTTCCTTACTTTTCTGTTGGAGCTAGTACAATAAGGTAAGGTTTTCGTTGCACTTCATGCTAGTATTTTTTTAAATTTTAAATATTATAACCATTCTTCAAAGATCGCGTTCAAATTTGTGCTAAATTCCAGTAGATTTCATGTAGCTGCATGATACCTGGATTCACTGAATCCTTCTGTGTCGAGGACTGACTTTTTTATTTTGTTTGGGACATGCAACACCAGCTATTACACGGTTAAAAAACAGGACAGATCTCGGTGTTTCAATGATCAAAAACTTGTGATTTTCTTCCAGCCTCAATAATTTGTATTATGTTACATGTAGCAATCTCATAGTGTCTACACTGATGGCTATTGTGGGTACAGTGGAAGACATGTATTCATTGTAAATGTATGGGGCGACGCAAAAATTCAGCTAGGATGTATGGTCGATGTTAAACTTCACATATCCTGGAAAGTTAACTTAAAAACTGCTTACACATATGATAAAGATCTGGTCTCTTATAAAGGATAGGGTGCTGGCTCCTAACGCTCTTCAGCAAGTAACAGTTGGGTCATCATTCTCTTTGCTCACCCAGAGGGGCACAAATTTGCGGCAAAATTACTCATCACTTAATAATATGTGCTTTTCTATTTAAATCAGTGGCTGACATATGCCACTTTCTTCCCTTTGATCTATTTAGAATAAAGCCCCTTGAACTAAATTATGAGGAATACCACAATGATATGTATTTTATGTTACCACATTTTACATACTTTTTCAATTGTGTGTTGCAAACATTAAAATGAAATAAATACTAATTCATGAACAAATGAATACTTAATTCAATACAGAATATCAATGGAGACACTCTCTGCAACTATCTTTGTGAAGAAAATACCAATCCTTTCACCCGTACTTAATATCATTCATACAGGCATGGATAAGAACTAGCAGCAAAGCAAAGTAAACAAAAGTGCCAGTGAAAGGTATCTGTTGTGCTTAATTTTTGTCCTTGGTGTAAAAATCAGTTTCCTTTGGTTTTGTTAATGATATGAATGAAGAATGCATTTTTTGTAAAGAAAGACAAAATTTAGCTCCTAGCCTAAGTTATGGTGAGGTGATATGTCACTATCAATTTGGCCTCTTTTAAAAGTAAAAGAATAAACTAAGGATAAAACTAAACCACAGCATACCTATACTAAACCCTCAGCCTATTTGTATCAATATTATTATTTTTTCTGGTGTTTACCCAATAGATTCAATCCACTTACAGACAAAGATGGTGCCTGTACATTTTACCTTTATTCTTAGGGTAAGACACATGTAGAAAGCAAAACAACAACATTATGTATGTAAATTTTAAATTTTTCAGATTTTTCTGCTTGACTTTTTGAGTGGTTCCAGGATTTTCTTGTGCAAAGAGTTCTAGGTGAATGTACCAGTCACCATGTTTTTTGGTATGATGGTTTACATTGATTGCTATGCTCTACATTCATCATTGAAGTAACAATTAATTCCTTTGCCATCAGTAATTGCTTTAAATATACTGTGTCAGAAATCACAGCACTGTGCCCCAAAATGTAATGTTGTCTGGGGCACAATTTCATATTTTTGAGCAAGGCAAAGGTAAAAATCAAACAAGACCACACAGACATCTTCTACAAGACAACATTGCTTTGTATAATGTTTATGTAGTTCGTTATGTAAAAGCTACTCTATTCATTAAATCAGTGTCAACACTCTCCCTCACTCACCCTTGTAGCAGATATAATTTTTAGCCAACTTGAGAAATAGTGGCCTAAAATGGACCCTTTTGGACATCCAAACTTTTAAATTTCCAGGGAAAGGTTCCCCAGCCACACTGTCATTTTTGTCCCTCCCAGCTGCTCAAATGTTGTCCCTCCTTTCCACAATCTTATCAAAGCCCCCATATGTGTAGTAATAAAAACATGGAAGTGAAGTGTGCTATCTCAGCAAGAGATGATAATCATGCACGCTTTTAAGTGAGTCATCCTAGCAGATGTTTGGTGAGGTATTGCATTCTGTGCTAAAAATCTAGTTCACATAGACCTGGGGGAAAAGAATAGGGTGTAATAGTCAGGTCGGTGAATTGCTACAAGCTTTAGTTTGATACCACTACTCATTTGGTTATCTATCTTGCCATTACTCTTTCTGGTTGTTTGGATTTTTATGGAACCTCTTCCCATCAAGAAGAAGAAGCATGGTATGTGTTTTCAAGTTGATAGAAAAGAAAAGTAAAAAAAAAAAAAAAGGAAATAGGGGAGGAACAGGATGGTACCAAAAACAGTGGTACATTTTTTTTGCAGGGGGGTAGTTTTTTTAATTTTTGAATTAGGGTTCTAGCCTAAGTATGTCTAAGTTTCTACACTTGTTGTTTAGTCTTGTGATTTCTTGCTTTAGGAAGTGAGGTGAAATTGTTTGAATTTGTTTTTCATTACAGCCACTTGAGTCTGTAAATGGAAATAAAACACATAAAAATGATGTAAGGAACATGTTACTTGCACTATAAGGTACTGAAAGTAATTTGTAACTCTCCACATTTGTTATTTACAATTGATATGCTTTGCACAGCTGTTGTGTGATAAGTGAAGAAGGTAACTGTATTTCAAAAATTAAATCACTTTAAACTGCAGTGAAAGCTATTACTTTTATAGTTATAAAAGTATCATTGGTAACCTCTCTGAGAACCTTCCCTAGTGTCTGTGTTATAGAGGTATCTACTAAATATAGGTTAATTTATTAGGAAATGTGGGAAGAATAGTATGCAACTGAATGATGCAAGTTTCAGTCAGTTGAGGGTTCTTGCATTTTTTATGGTGTTGCTAATGGTGTCTCAGTCAATTGCTAACTTAGTATTTAAGTACTAGTTGTGCTTGTTGATTATTTGACTTTCCCTAAATGTTTTTTATCGGTGGAGCTAAAAGAAAAGTTTGTGAGGCCATGCTTTAAAAAAATGACAAGAAGGCCTTAAAAGCTTATTTAGATCTTTATGAAGATGGAGGGTTATTTTATTGGCAGTTACATGTAAAGATAGGTTGCCAGGGCCACTTGCTAGGAGTAGATTTATAAGTTAAAAATACTACATTTGAGCTCAAATTTGACACAGACATTATTCAGGTATGATGGAGATTTAAAAGCACATTCTTGTCTCATTCATAAGCGATGCTACATACTCCACAGGTGTCAAATTTATTAAATTTTGTGTTCAGAATTACTGTTGGCCTTGATATTTTTAACATTATGTAACATTTAACATTATATAACATTGTTTTTAACAAACAATAAAATTTTTTGGTTTTGATCTGAGCAATTAAAAACATTATTGTCTTGTTTCCAAGGTTTCCAAGGAAAGTTTCTTCACTTCATGCCTGGGTCCTTATGTACATTATTCTGTTTTACGGAAAATAACAGTTAACTCGAGCAGGAAAACTCCAATTAGCCTAGAGAGGCCAGAAAAGAATTGTACTTAGAAATAACAGTTCCCTCCAGCTGGAAACAAAAAAGACAGAACAGCTTGCAGGGGTTGGAAAATACAAGTAAGTACTGTAAAAGAATATTTATTCCTTGCTGGTAATCTCAGAACAGCTTGCAGGGGTTGGAAAATACAAGTAAGTACTGTAAAAGAATATTTATTCCTTGCTGGTAATCTCAGAACAGCTGAGAGGGGCTGGAAAACAACAGTGCTGGAATACAGGAGTTATCCACTGCTGGAATTCAGAAACAGGAAGCTTTTAAATACTATGCTACAATACACTGAGCATGCAATAATATCTTCCATTGCCTCAACTTCAGTTACTTGTAGAAAGGTCATCTCTGAACCATTAAATAGGATCTGATTTACTAGTTATGTACAGTTTGTAATACATTAATGAAAGAAAAAATCTTAACCCTTTAACCCCTAAGAGTGGCCAGCCTCTAATTTCTCATTACAAAATCACCCCTGATATCACCCCACATCCCACATGAATCAAGGAAATGACCAACAACTTATAAAGCTCTTGATTTTTAAACAAATTCTCCTTGTCAACAGCTCAGGAAATGTATAGAGAATGGTATGGAGAATATGCCTACTGATGTTAGGGTGTAAAGGGTTAATTAATAAGTGTATGTTTAAGGTAGCAATCATAGATAACTAGTACTTATTCACAAATACTATATTTTGTTTAGCAGATTGTAGCTTCAATGGATGCCAGAAATATGTTTATGAAAAACTGGCAGATACTGTTTTGTGCATTGTGCTGGTGAAGACAGCAGTGCAAGAGTAGGTGAAGATGGAATCAAGAAATGCAAAATAGGAGTGAGTCCATTTAGTCCTGGAAAAACTATGGAAGAGGTTTCTGCTGGTTTTGGTGTTGCTTTTCCTGGTGAGTATGAATTAGGAGATTTTGAGGAGGATTATGACGATATGAATGATGATTTATTTGTTCTCCTCCCTCCTCTTTCACCATTAGACATCCAACTACTGGACAAAGACACAGCTGTCAAATGAAAACAATATTCAAGGTAGTTAATAATTATGTTGACCATTTTCACTCTTTGTCTCTTTGTTTTTGTAAGATGAGTCTTTTGCTACATTATTCCATAATTATTTATCTCTATAAACCTTGTTTGTTTTT